TTGGTACAGTCGGCCTTCTAACCTAAATATTGAGTATGTTTCTAGCTCGTATAAGCTGTTGCTAGAAAGAGCGTCTTCATTGCGTTTTAATTACTATAATAAACTAGTAATATTATTATTAATTAGTTTAACATTTTGTGGAAGATATAAATGGAGAGAATAATTGACCTACTGAGAAATCAATGTATACTTAGAACTACCTACACAGAAATAAGAATAAAGATCAGTTTGAGTTTCTCATAAAATTTAAAAGGGCGAACGTAGAAATTGCGAGATGATAAGTTTCGAACAGAAGTTATTTATGTAATTTTTATTTTCTGCTTCTTATCTTAGTACCTACTTCACAATTTTTTTTGCTTAAATTTACAGCTAGTCAAGCATTTTGGTGTATCGCTGTAGTTTTAAATAAAGAAACAGATATTAAACTTTCGTTCGCGACTGCACAGTTTTATCTGAACCCCGGAGGCGTCCTAGTTTGTGTAAAATATGAGACGTTTAGTCAAAAACGAGAGATAAAAGACAAAGTGTTTCACATATAGCACCGAATGTTCATTGGAAATAGGTCGGTTGACGGTACGACGTTCATTACGAGACGGCGGCTTCAAACGTGTATGACTTGATAATTGAGTGTTATTGGCCGCCCACGAACGTTATGGGTGGGTTCATACTTCATATCCCCTTACAGCGTTGAATGATTGATACAGGTGTAGGTTGCAACACTACAATTGTGACTTGTGTCTCAGTAGAGAGACACAGGTCTCTAGGTCCATTCATTCATTCATTCATAATTTAAGAGCTACGCTCTTGTCGGTGGAGCTCTTGCCACTTTCCGCGATCTTCCATCATGTTCTTTAATTCTTGATACGACACGACTCCCATTTTGTCCTCAATTTGTTTGATGTAGCTATTCCTTGGTCTTCCCCTCCCCCTCTTTCCTTCTATTTTCCCCTCAATAATAATTTTCATGAAATCATCGTGCCGTATCAAGTGCCCTAACATTTTTCCTCGTCTATTTTCTATGGTGTTCAATATTTGTCTTTTTTCTTACTTTATCCTTCCAGCTAATTCTTTCCATCCTCCTCCAACACCACATTTCAAAAGCCTCCAGTTTGTCTCTTTCCTTTTGATTTAATGTCCACGTCTCACACGCATACAAGGCTATACTCCAGATATAGGTTTTAATAAATCGTTTCCGTGAGGTCTTTGATATTTTAGCGCGTAAAAGGTATTTTTTGTTGTTAAATGCTTTTTTTGCCATGGCTATTCTTGTTATAATATCTGTGGTACATCTGGAGTCGCTGGTGATTAAACTGCCTAGATATTTGAATGTGTCTACCTGCTCGAACTGTGTTTTGTTATTTTTTGGATTATTTTTATTACGGGTCTTGACTTTTGTTATTCTCATTGATTTAGTTTTCTTTATATTTATTTTGAGCCCATATGATTTAAAAATCGTATTCATAGTTTCTAAAAGTGTTTGTAGTTGTGTGTAGTCTTCTGCTAATGCAGCTATATCATCAGCAAACCTAATAAAATGTAGCTTTTGACCATTTATTTTAATCCCCCCTTTGTTTAATTCGACTATTTCTTTTATTGCAGCTTCTATAAAAATATTGAATATTAGTGGTGAGAGTGGATAACCCTGTCGTACCCCTTGCTTAATTTTTGCATTTTCCTTTTCCTCGCCTATCTCTATTATTGTTTCTTGATTTTTATAAAGTTGATAAATTATTCTTTCAAAATTTGCATCATTTTTTTCCAGTTTACATTATCGAAGGCCTTCTCCAAATCTATCTCAAGGTCCAACGAAATAAATTTCAGATCTTGTTCTAAAATGCTATTTCAATCATGGTAAAATCAGTACATAATTAATACGGAGATCTGATAAAGTACAACCAAAACTAACTTCTTTTTTTTACTTATGGAACTCCGTTATGGAGACCCGCCCGCTCCAGGGCTAATGAATAGGTACTCGAACTCTTATTGGCTAATACTCCAAGCTGTACCTCTACTACTTATTGCCAGAGCCACGGGTGCTCACGAGCATTCTTCCGCTGCTCCGATGGCGGGGACCCAGCTTAATAGACTTCTTCTCACGCTTGAGATGTCGATGGAGAAGGAGATGTCCCCACGGCCATTGCCCCTGTAGACAATTCCGCGCTTTTTCTCTGGTGCCTTGTTCCTTACTTTTACTGTCTCGCAGTATGCGACGACGACTAACCAAGACCTTCCGTTGCTCTCCATCTTACGAATATCTGCTGGTAATAAGAGATCATTTCCTATAACTGCAACTGTGACGCCACGCTCTTTGTGGAAAATCAAAGAAATTCATTTCACCTTTACTTCACAATTACAAAAAACATTATCTTCGTTTTTGCGACCACCTTCTGTGACGCCACGCTCTTTGTGGAAAATCAAACACTCTTCTAATGTATGTGAATTGTAATGTATGCACCGTGACTCAGATTCCTAATTTAACTAATATAACTGATTTATATATTTTTTTACTCAAACTCTACGGAAAATCCTCATGGAGACTCAATAGGGAGGTTCCTTTTCCCCACTATTAGTCAGAAATGGTCTAAAAAATAAAAATCTTTGCTCCTATTATATATACTTTACAGACTAACATATTTAAATAATTATATCTGAATACGAAGATATAGGAAAATATAAACACAAAACGTCAACCTTCTCGTTTTTGTAGTTGGTTTAAAATAAAACGCACCTTACAAGTATGACTCAGATTTTTCATCAGAGTTATCCATGTCTAAACATCTTAGGAGTGGTGTATGAAAACAATACAAGGGTAAATACCCTTTACTATAACACATAAGTTTTAATTAAGTATACTTTTTTTCTTGATAGTTTATTGTTAGTCTACAATGTTTCGTACACAGAAAATGGGTTTTTCGGTTTGAACATAAAACTGTCTCAAGGGTACGGGAAAAACAGTTGGCAAAGGGTAAAATAAAAATGATATTGGGAGTAAATTCATAGTCCAAAAACCATATATTGATTTTTTAAAGGATCAGGGTAGTCCTATTGTAGAAATACGCTAAGTTCACCGTTTTACGGTTACGTTTCTAATAGTAGCTTTATTCCGGAGAGATCATGCCATCTTAGATAGTTAGACACTATATTTAAAAATACCAATCCGGTTAAAACCCGGTGTCGAACAACATTTTATTTTCTTAACATATATATATATGACAATTAATTTAAGTATGTAAATAAGATATTACTTAGTTATGCACCATTTTATTGTACCTCTAAAATAGATGTTGGATGTCAATGTGTGATTAGAATTTTTTAATGGAAAATTCAAATATAGTTGTATAAAAGTACCAAACAATTGGTTTTATTTTGTGAAGGTTTTGATGTTTTTACAGAATAATATATATTTCTAATTCTAAACATGTTTATATTTTTACTGTAATGTATTATGAAATTAAAATAACATTGTTTCCTTGCGGAAAGATTTATTATAATATAACAATTTTATTTTCGTAACTTTTATAGATATTTTTTTAAATTAATAAATTATTAATAATTTAAAAAATATGTAGTAATACCAAAGTCAGGTAATGTGTCATGTCATGTTGATCTAATTACGGTCTTCCTTGCAAACTATCTGGTTAATGCTACGTGAATTCGCCACGAATGGTATAATTGAGCTTACTTTATCCTCGATGTACCTCCCCTTGTGCCTTACTAGCGAATATTCCGTTAATGTATGTGAGTGCACCATTCCATAACCCATTAAATTAAGTAATACCTTTAACATTTGTGAGCCAACATTCTGATATTTACTGCCAAGTTCTACTGTGTAATAGTCTTGAGTTGCTTATCGTATCATTACGAGGCCAGTTAAAACATTACCAAGAATTTTTCATTTCCGATGTTTGTGTTTAGCAGATACTACAGATGTATGAGTCACATAATCAAAAGATGGAGAAAATCCGCGTTTCAGTGCTGACTGAGGACTGTTTGTATGTAATTAATTTCTCTGAATTGTTTACACGCAAGATCGTAACATTGCTAATGTTGTAGAGGTATAAATGTTTTGATTGTTACAAATAGGAGAACTTTGTGATTATTCGTTTATTATTAGTTTTTAAGAGGGCATACAAATACGATATACATATAATAATTATACATTAGGTACTAGCTGTATTATCCACAATTTTATCTGCATTATCTATGTTCGTGTCGTCATACATGTATTTCCAAATAATTAAAATTAGTTCAATTTCACTAACAATAAGATCTGCTCGCCCGTTTAATTGTGAAAGACTCGATTTTATTATTTCGTATAAGTATGGATAAGATTATAAATATGGATATATATAAGTATGAATAATATTATGTTGTACTAAGAAATGAAACGTTATTAAAATAATTACTTTCGTATTAAAAATAAATAAATTTTTTATTATGGATTTAAATACCTAGTTATTGTTTATTAAAGATATAAAATCTCTAGATAATGTACTTGTGTAGAGATTCTTCTTTGTTACAAGATACAGACTACAAGCACAATACAGTGTCGTCAGAACTTATAAATAAAGAAGGAATTCTTAAAATGAAACAAAATTAGCAAACCAGACGGTGTTCTAAATGAGGCAATAAAAATTGGAACACATTTTTTTTAAATTTACTTAAATCCCGTTACCCCTCCACCTAACTTCTCCTTTTCTGTTATCTTTCTTGCTTAGTCTTGTACCGAGCATGTAACACAGTTGTTTTGAACTTACATTATCTTATTTTGTGTATTTATTGTTGACTTATATGTGTGTGTATGTATATTGCATGTATATCTTTTGTGTTATTTCTTCTCAGTACATATATATACTGTGCTATTCATGCGCTAAAATTTTACCCTAAGGTTGCCCTGTCCGCCTTTTATGCATCATAATCTCTTGTCAGTATAATTCTGGTATTAGTGTAATAAAATTTAAATTAATTAATAACTAATTTTATATGTCTATTTGTTCCAGGTACCGGCACATTCGGTCGGGTATGCCTATGTCGAGATAAGGCTGCTGATGAGTATTTGGCTATGAAAATACTGTCGATGGCGGACGTCATACGTTTAAAACAAGTTGATCACGTCATGAACGAGAAAAATATATTATCAGAAATTAATCATCCCTTTATAGTAAACTTGTAAGTACCATTTTATCAACAAATTTTACAATTTGCCATGGAACATTAATATATTATGATCCTAACTTATTCTTAATTAATTGTTAATAAATTTATTGTTACATTATAATAATTGTATATTTAAAATTCAATGACTAAAGGAACAAGATTCAATGCGAGTAGGTTAATCGAAGTCACTTTATAATATTAGTATATATATTTATACCATAATCAACATTTATATTGGAATATAGAAACTCTAATTATTTTATAAAAATTAGACTGAATTATCTAAAAGTAAAATGTATGTTAAACGTTTTAACCGTTTCATATATTTACAAACAAAGCCAATATTTCAATACAGCAAACTTTAGTCCTTGACTTAACAATGGGGCCAGTTCTTGGATGTCCTTGACACGCTTTTACTTATATTGCAAGTTCTCAATATGAATTACAAAAGTTATTTATTTTGAGTTCAAATATTAACATACTATGAGAGTAGTAGATAGAAAGAGTACACATAAAAATAACAATTTATATTATTTTCTGAGAATTATAAAATATATTTTTAAACTTTTTAATGATATATTCAGACGTTAATAAAAATTTCATACATTTGAAAATACACTAATGTAGAGTTCTGTATGATTTGCTTTAGTAGATGTAGGTACTATTATCAATTTCAGCCACGAAGTAGACATGCGTACGTCGTTATTTCTGTTTGAAGGGTAAAAATACTACAGCAATGTCTAAGATTTCATTTGTATACAATTACAAACCGTGTGTGTTTCTTTTTCACGGGTGTTAGTGGAAAGAGAGGGGGCGGTAGGAGATTGGTCACTGCGCTGTAAATCTATATTGAGTTATACAGATGTATTTATGGAAAAATTTCCTATATGATTCCGCGAATAACGGAGTTTTAGTATATTTGGATAATAATATTCAACTTTTTCTTGATTTAAATGGACTTTTGTACATATTTTGTATGTGCTATTTTGATGGACAAAAAATTTACTGAGTATTGTCCTATTGTACAAGGTCGGCTTGATATGTAACTCTATCCCTTTTATATTTTCGTCAAGTGGCTTTTATTTGAAGGGTACTCAAACCTTCCACCTACCTTTAATACCAAGAGCTATAGCAGTGAAGGTGAACATTATGGGTTTAATGTATGTCCTCACACTAATTCTTTATCTCTGATGTCAGTGGCATTGTTTATAGATAGGTGTATAGTTTGCCACTCCAATCGTATAAAAAGACGAAGTCGTTGCAAATTTGGTTGTATGGATTAGTACCTGAGTTGTGTTATGGTATATATGCGTAGGTCTATTAGATGTGCCAGTTTACTTTCTATTTCTACGAGGTTATCAAATATGCTCTAGTGCATGTGCCGTCTATCAATTAAATATTATGTACTAGACAGTGCTCGGCCCAGAGCCAATGTTTCATCTTCTCTGTCTCGAATAAATTATGTACATTGTGCGTAGGTAGTCATTGTCAGTGCGTGGCCGTGCTTGTAATTAGATACTGAATTTTATTAGTGTGATGTATTGTAGTTCTTTATGTCGTTCAAATGTAACCACGTATTAGTCTAGGTGTGGATGTTCCTTACATAACATACTTTAAAACAAAACAAAGGAAAAGTTATAATTTGAATACAATGTAAAATTTTCTTATCGAGCTCCATTCAGATATTAGGTTTGTAATTTTACTCAATTGAAATAATTTTTAAAGTAAATATTGTTAAATTATTTGTTTAGAGAATAATATTATTAGTAGCCGTAATAAACTAGTTTGCTCGTTAAAAAAGACGTTCTATTTCTTTGTAGTATTTACGATTATTTCGTTTTTTTTTGACAAAAAAAATTAGGTAATGATTTTATTATTAAAACGATATAAATGTTATTGATAATACTGATAACTGTTAATTTGATAAATGAATAAAAATAATAGTATAGTTGTATTATAATTGAGGGACTAAATATATAATAGAAATTTAATATACCAAATGCGCAGTGTTTATGTGTAACAAGAAGAGAGTTTTGGCAAACAAAGAGATGCTGTTTCGGTGTTGTATTATAAAGGCGTTAGACGCATATCGCATTGTATGCTTGTCTGTGGCGACACGCGACGTCAAGCGGATAGTTGGCAGGTGTCTAGGCGCCTGTCGGGAATCGAATCAATCGACTACGAGTATGTAGCCGATGAGAATCTGGCATACCTCTGATGCCGTTACATTCCATTAGATGTGATTATTTAAGCATTATACTATTACTCTTAGCATTCTTCCTTTTAATGTGGCATAAATGTAAAATAACTTTAATCTACCGTCAAATATGGTTGTTATAAGAATAAAAAATACATATTTTTCACATTTTTCAATTTCATTTATATTTCTTAAATATATTTGATAATCAAATACTGGTAAATCGAAAATATGAAAAGAAAAAATTATAATTCAAATCGTAAGATGTACAGCTTACGATTTAAATTTGCTTAACGTTGCTTATTTTGTCTTGCAATATATTAGGAGCTTGTGCAGTAGATTACACTGAAATCTATATCCTCCATAACCAGTTTCTTGCGTAATTACTCACAGAAATCGTTTACAACTGATCATATCAAATTCAAATTTAAATTTATTCTCCCAGCAGTATATAAGAATATTTAAAATGTTGTTAAAAATATTTAAGATCGCAAACGACACGAAATTGCTCCGGAACACATTCAGCATGTGGAATAAATTTGCTTAGGTTTTCTTTGGAAAATACAACATTTGTTTTTTTCAAAAGATGTTTATATTAAGGTTTCTAAGATTTGCCAATCTGAAAAATTGTTTACAACCAAAATATTTATAAAGAGTTGGGCATGTTTGCCATAATTGTGGTATAAAAATATGACGCTTTTTACATATTTTATTGAGTCTACTTTCTGAACACATTGCATCATGCTAGTTCCACATTACGACTGCTGTTTCTTATGTAATATTCGTTACTCATTCATCCAAACAATGACAGGGCGTAATTGTTTTTCTTTTTGCGTTATGTCCTATTTCAATTTGAATAGGACATTTTGGCGGTAAAATAGTATTAATTATATATAAAGGTCAATGAAAAGTACAAAATTAACATACTCCAGTTGTTCATTGAATAAAGAGGATAGCTTTTTTAGAGTTTAGTAAAAGTACACATACATATATTAGGTAGATTTAACATTCAGGAATAATGTAGCAATTTGTTTCGAGACGTTCGTGAGATGTTCATATCTATTCAAGTAAGGAAAGGTTATTTCTTTCTATCAGATGTGCTGTCAACTTGACTATACATACTGTTAGCACAGATTATATAATATTACATACTGTTAGTTTCAGACTTTAGCGTACTTTCAAATATTGTCATGTATATATATTATATATATATATATATATAACGATTTTATAACATATATATATATATATATATGTTATAAAATCGTTTTGTTCTCAGACACGAAAAATAAAAATGAAAGTAGGATAAATTTGGAACGCCCTTTCCTCTTATTTTTTTAGATGTGACAGTATTTCGGCTGTGATGCTGTAATATTAAGTTAATGTGGTATGTTTCATGATTATTATTATTCTTAACGAAGTAACTATGTTTCAGACGGTGGTGGACTCACGATGATTCGTGTATTTATATGCTGTTCGACTACGTATGTGGCGGCGAATTGTTCTCATATTTAAGAAATGCTGGCCGATTCAGTAATACTATAGGTAAGTTCAATATTTTACACATAAAATATTGTCATATAAATGAAATGACTGTCATTGAGAGTTGATGGACCACCTGAAAGTCCTGAAAGTGGTTACCGTCATCAATATACATCTACACCGCCACGAATTTTTTGTCGTAATGTGACGCTAGTGGTAGTTTCTCATGCGCTGTAGGAGGACTAATGTGTCATAATCTGATCTGCATAGTCTGTAATTTCATTGTATTTCTCCTCCTTAAAACCAAAACACAACTTACAAATGTAAAAATATCAAATTTATAGCTGGTTATGTTAAATCTAATAATAATCCAATAATTCTGAGTAACTCATACCAACTCTGATGCATGTTTGATGTAAATCATGAACTTGAATCACCGTAGGTTGATATCAACTAGTCAGTTAAAGGTAAACAGTGGGTGCTAATTTAACGGTGCTAATTTAGTAATCATTAAACATACCTTTGATTTTTTATAACTGTAGCATACATCAAAGGTGCCAAGAGATGTAATCTGGGAGATTATGTTATTAATAGTTGTATCATACTTTCTTACGTTAGCGTGGGTGAGTTACTTTTTACAAAGTATTAACTTACTTTACTCATTGTTAGTTTGTCAAATTATGCAACTAAATTTTATATATCAGTCGTTAGATTATGGTCAACTCGAGTTTCTTTTCTTGCTCAGATGATTCTGGTAGGAGCCTGCTAGTGCAACGTTAGATATACGTTCTGGTAGATATAGAACTCACTGCAGTTCTAGACAGGCCAAGATGTTTTAGAAGATTGTTGGTATTTGGATTGTTGGAGAATGTTTTAGAAGATTGTATTAGGATTTTATAGTGCATTTCATACGTGTCCATTAAAATAGTCCAGTCAGGTGCAGTACCTAGGATTGAGAAGGCTTTTGTTTGAAATTGTATAAAGTTAATTTATCATTTGTTTGAAGTCAATTCTTTTTGGACTCTAGGTACTGAAGGACTTACATATAATTTGAAGTACTCTATCATGGCGATGTAATGATCTCTATCGAGGAGCACCTTGCAGCCCACCAATACGTGGCTTGCTGTGCCAATTAATAATAGCAATATTTCTCACAGGCTTTCCCCCATCTTACTAAATTACTTTGCTCTGGTAGGGTATTTTGGAAGGCGTTAAGGTAGAATATGATTCAATAAGGCAGGAAAAAAATGAAAATGATGAATTAATTCATGAAAAATTGTGATTCCCAAATACAGTTGCGTCATAACTTCAATATCTTAATAGCATTTCTATCCAGTTTAGCCATAGATTTTCTTTATTAGTCATAAAAAAGATGAAGTAAACTTAAGGTGACGTCCTAAACATACTAGACCGAGAGCTCTATTCAATTCAATATCCTTTTTTTTTTTCGTAAACTGCAATACTATCAATGCAGTGTTATGGTGGAAATGGACTAGTCTGATTCATAAATTTGAAGTAAGTACCGTCCAAGTGGCGACAAAAACTATATACTAAAAAAATTGAATTCCTTAAATTATAGTTACTTTATTTTATTAATAGGACTGATTACAATTATGCTGTCATGTTATTAAGCATTGCTCTTGCGCAGAGTTTGAGCCCATTAACCTGTAAAAACTGGGTCGTTAGCATCTGGCGACTAAAATATAAATAAAGCGTTCGCTGATTTAATTAGTGCTAAGGTTGCCATTATTATAAATAATTATGACCTATTTTGTTAAGTACTTTAAGTAATATACTAATAATAATATTTTATATACATTATTAGAGAAGGTATCTAAACTATTACATAGATAGAGTTTCCTTTTATTATTTATTTATTTATTAGTAACATATTTAGGTTTACTATTTATTACTATTGTCTATTAGGAAATAAGTCCTATATATACTAATATGTTTCAAATCTGAAACATATAGTTATCCAGGGGATTTTCAATGTTGTTGCATGTTAATACAATGAAGTGTAAACTACTGAAATTATTAAAATTATATTTGTATAATTTTAGTATAATCCGGATATGTCACAGGAAAGTAAAAATTAAATTGTATCTATAAATATTTACATAACGTGCAGAATTAATAAGATTAGTTAAAATGATTGTCAATATACATGACCAAGTTACACATACAGCTGTGATGCTCAAAATAAAAATAGTAATGAAACAGTGAATCTGTAGTCAGCACTTATTGCTTTGATGACATGATAATACGGTTTATTTGGAGTAATCATAAAAAATACATATATTTTTATGTAAGTATATAATGTTGTAAATAAATAATCTGGAGCGGAATAAATAAATAAAGTTTGGAGCTGCGCCAGCGCAGCGCTCTGGCAGAGCGTAGACGCAGTTTGTCGCGCGTCGCTTGCGTCCGTCCGTCCATTTGCAGCGTCTGTCATCTAGTTTTGCGGATAGTAGTTCGCGATGGGTTTGCTCAATTTAGTTCGTTGCTCTTTATTCTTCTAGTTCGTTCGGTTCCAACTTTTGTCAGGCAGTACGAGGTTGTACTAGGTTTACGAGTATTAGCTCCTGTAAATATGTGTTCTTTTGTTTTCTAGTAAATTTGAGGTTCTCAAAAGAATTAAAGAAAAAAAGATTTGCGAATTACTTTGGGTAGTTATTGGGTAGCGTAGTTCAGTAATCTGCTGTACATACATCGCTGTTCACCGTTATATTAGAAATAATCTTGTTTTATTTAAATTATTCATACTTAATATTTCCATTTTACACATATAGCATTATATTTTTTGTCGTCAATGTTTGTTTATATTCTGTAAACGATTTTGAATTTTATTTAAGAGATTGTGATAAAAAAAATTTTTTACATGATCTTGTGTACTTCATGTATTGGTATGTTACATTTTAGGTTTACAAAATATTATCAGCTTTTTATTCTATCTAATGGAATAATTCAATTATTAAAAATGTTGCGCGTAGTCTTGTTTTTTATAGAATTAGATTTCCTCTGCGTATAAATATAGTCACTAAACTATATCAGTATACTAAATGTTTTGCCACGTTCATTACCATTTATCTCAAGATGGTCAGTACAGATATCAGAGATGTTTGGCTTTTGGCCCTGGCTAACGTCTGAGAGTAAATTAAGATTAATTGTTTTATCATTTTGACAGAAGTCATGCATTAGAAATTGCGTTGTTAGTAGTTGGGTTGCTTATTCCTAATTACTTCCGACATAACTTGCGATACTTCTACACAAGATATTTCTTAAGATACGTGTAATCAAAAGAACTAGTGATTTTATAAAAGTATGAAATGTTAGAAAAAGGATGTGAAAGAGATTTCTTATTTTATTGTAATAAGTACATGATATATTAAGTATAAGTATTTAATTATAATTAAAAAATAATCCCCAAACCAGGAGATACCGATATTTTTTGCTTCGTCATTATTATAAAATAAATATTGAAACCAAATTTCAATCACATTAAAATTACATTTTAGGTTTCGGTCGAGTTTCTATGTCTGGTGCCTAAATTTATTATTTTTTAAATTATAGGTATAGTTATATAGGCGTCTCACCCTGTATATTTGATAATATACTAAAAAATGTTTTGACCCTGTTAAGCATTACGGAGAATCGGGACATAGACACCTGTTATTGTAGTTGGGTCAATAAAACGAGAGTTTGGGATCAGCTGGCCACTCAACCAGACAACGTGACGCCCGCTATCGGCGTCTGGGCGCTCTCTTTCGTATTTCATCTCCACAATTATAAACATTAGGTATATCGATTTTAATATGTTTATTTTATATAAGCAACCAGTAATTTATGGTATATTTTATATATTATTTATTTCATATTGTGAACATAGGCTTGTCGTACAATAAATACAATATACCTATAAGTCATATTATATATTGTATTTACGAACGGAGTATCTTGTATGGTAAATATAGTTACAATATATTTTTTAGATAAAATCAAAACTCGTAATTCGTAGCATAATATTGAACAGGTAGTTGTCATGATGACTATGGTCCATTTTGTAAATTAATTGTACCTACTGAATATAGTTACGTCGTATGATAAATACAATATGTACATTTACAATTAAGATACTACGGTACCCTACTAAAAAGGGTAGTGTAAAAAAATTATACCAATTTGATATAATGGTAGCGTAGCTTAAATTATGTTGGTTTAATTTTTATAACAATATTTTTGACTTGTCATTGGTATGATTTTATCATCCAATAACAAACCAAACCAAAATCCGATTTTTTTATGTCTGTGTTAATTAAACTGAAATACAAGAAGATTAGCGGTAATTATTAATATGTTTTTATTAAGCTACTAACCGTATTCAGATTAATATGACGTTATACTAAATAATAGATACAGTACACGATGAATTTTTATCTTCTAATTATTCAGGGCTTGTACTATACAACTTATAAATATAGATGTACAGAAACAAAACAAGGACCTATCAATTAGACATATTTTTTATCAACTTATGTTGTTACTATTACTTATATAATGCAGTAACAGTAACAACGTATATAATGCAACTCGATGTATGTAACTATAATTTTATTCTGTAATGTAGGACGTTAGAAGTTTTTTGTTAACCGTACTTCTATGTCCTTGTTGGGTCTAGTCAAGAGGCGTTTTTGATGGCGTGATGTCATGCAATAATTATGGTGACAGTCTCCACCCCACTTGTTTTCAAGACGTACCGAGGAGACGTATCGCCCACAATAGTCATTAATCATATGATACCATAAAAAGGCAATTATTTATTGGTGTCGTTCACCTTTTCATTTGCATCTTTTATGTATGCCTTTAGATATATTCTATGTTGTCTTTTGATGCTAACAGTGTATATGTTTTGCATTTATATCTGTAATTAATTATAAATTTATCATTTTACCATTTTACCAGAAGGAGTAAGTTTTAAAAATTATAGAAATATTTAAAAGGGTTATTACTGTTATTATTATTGGGGTAGTTTGTTGTGAATAGATTGTTATCTTATGTAGTCTGTCATATTATTATTTCGTCGCGGACGTTCTTGATGTACATACTGTTTCTATAGGATTTCGCGGTTTTTCTTGATGTACATAATGTTTCTATGGGATTTATAAGTATTTGAGTGAGATATTTCCTCTTCTTTGTTTTGTGTAGCTTGATCTAATTCTATACAGGACTTATTGTTTTTTTGGTAAAAGATATATGTGATATGATGGTAAAATGTATAATTTTTGCCTACTTAATATTATTTAACATTTTTTGTTAAACTGATTGATTTGCACATCAACTGATGTTAGATGTTAACTATTCCTGTTCTCCTTGTTTTGTTTACATACAACCGAGATCGTTCGAATTTATTATATTGGCACGACGTACTGTAAAACCATTGGGTAACTCGCTATTCGCTATTGGCTATAGTCTGTCGTAGACGTAGTTTTAAATCTTGCAAGCTTAAGATAGAGTACCTACAACCAAACAGGCGACACTAATAATATAGACGAAGTGACGTTCGACGCAAACATATTCAGCTCTAGCAATTGGCATTGACTTTCCGATCTCAAAAATAGACGTTGTCCTGTGCGTTCGCAGCAAGTTTTTTTCTATAAATTATTACGTCATATACTTATCAAGATGTACCGGTATATACAGTGAAAAAAATATGATGCTAACTTTACAGATGTTCTAATTTTAAGAAATGTGGGCGCTGTTTTTGTTTAATTCTGTACCGACTAGTATTATAATTATTATTTAATATAAAACCGAAATACTTACTGCATACATTTAAAAAATTTATACATCAAGAAGGAATTCAGGCACTATAACCACCCCAGCCAAATACTATGGAGGAGGCTTTTACTTCAAGTTTTCCTTTCATATTACTGATTTATGTTCAGCTTACATTGACTGTTATGACATTAAGACAACGAAAAGACTATTACTTACAAGTGCCTTACTGCGTCACAGCATGATCTGAAATTTGGCACAAGATTCCTTTTGAGGGTGTCGACAAATAGAACTAATTTTCGGAATCTTTTTATTGAGAATGGGCAGAAGTTTCTTTCTAATATAATTTGAAACTACGTATGTTTTTAATATTTTTGTTAGATTTCTTTTGAGAAAACATTTGACCTACAGATTTATTTTACATAATGACCTCTTGTGATACCTCATATACGATTTACCTATTCATGCGAAGTATATTTCTTATTGCTTTGTATATTGCAGACTCTGCAGCTGGCTTCATGTTACTTTCTATATCTTTATATGTATAAACATTAAATTTGATAGAGCACATAGTCATGATTTCTAGTCTGAAAGATAGATGCTTAACCTAAAAATATCTTTTTAAGCATATTGAAATTATTAGCTTTCTAAATTAAAATCTAATGCTAATTTTGATTGGTTTTTACATTCTAAAAAGAAATTAAAACATTCGATCATAGCTTCATAAAAGTTGTTTTTGCTGTAAATAAGTAAATTTCTAATAATTTATAATACAGAATTTCATTATATATTTCACTATATTTGGTTCAATACTTTGACTCTACAAGTCAAAGAAGTTTATGCATCTGTAAATTTAAAGGTTAAACTTATGACTAACTCATGACTGTACACATATAATTCTGGTTATATTTTTAAAATGGTGTGGTACTAAATATGAGTTACGCCTATTGAATATTTCGATTAATTTTAGAAGCCATCTCATAAATCATGACTCACTTTACTAATTTGGCGTAATGTATTGCAGATCTAAGTAAGGTTTTGTTACGGAAAAGTTATATTTGTCCTATATATTATGTATAAAACAATTTTAATTGGCAGATATAACAGCATCCACATTATTTAAAATGAAGAACTATTGCCTCAGAAGTAATACTATTATTATCATTTACAGGTAATTTTTATGCAGCGGAGATAGTATCAGCATTGGAGTATCTACACGCTCGTAACATCGTCTATAGAGATCTCAAACCTGAAAACTTACTGCTAGCGAAGGACGGCCATTTGAAGATCACCGATTTCGGCTTTGCAAAGAAATTAACTGACCGAACGTGGACACTGTGTGGTACACCGGAGTATCTAGCACCAGAAATTATTCAGAGTAAAGGACACAACAAAGCAGTCGATTGGTGGGCTTTAGGTTAGTAAGATAACTTTAAAATTCTAACCAATTCTCGACTCAAACTCTCAACTCTACTAACCTCACTAAACTATCTAGAAGTTCATTAGAGCGTAATGAAAGTGCATGAAGCAGTGGTAAGTTATAGAGGTCTGTGTCACTAGATTTTCTCTTCTCCTATATCATAAATATACATAGTTTCGATGGTTAGGTATTGTAGCATGAATTCAATAATTTATTATATTCTAAGGAATATATCTGAGTGTAGTTCGTATTTCTACATAACTTTCTAATATCTAATGAATAAATTTATATTGCCTACTAATTTGCTATCCTGTCTACTTTCATAATTTTCTTATATTTCGTACATATGTATGTTTCTTTTTATATTACTGGCTACAACGATCTATAAGTTAAAAATTGAATATTTACGATGAATATACATCGCTATGTTGTTATTTAGTAACTAGAATAGACCTCTTTGAAAATATTCCTTAACAAATAATTTTAAAATCTGATTGTGCAATTTGGCACAATAAGAAAATATAGACATTGCGTTTTAATTATACCGAAATTAATTTAGAATTGAGATAGCTGATATATCAAATAATTTTTTTTCCACCTTGAGATAGATATATCTTTTTCCACCATATAATTAGCGTTTAAACCATTGAATATTATTACTTTGTAATCTAAAATAGTAACAACCATTAATATATATTTATATAAATGTAATATTTTCGAGCAGATACTTTGCATTTTGTACAAAGTATATTTATATATGCTTAATACTCTTATATTTTTGTTTTGTATTTCATTACCAATGTCAACCACTCATGTACCATTATACAACAATATAACGTCATACATATATTAAACATATTCAAGGTGAATGTATTATAAATGCAAATATTTTGTCGTGATATACCGTTGTTTATAACTTTCTTATTAATTTTTATTTTTATTGCTAGACTATTTTCAGTTATTGCTATAAAAAATAGTTAGATAGTTATTTAAGAAAAATTTTGATATTTACATTTTTATTTCGATATAGGATAGATATTTCAGTAATATATTTCACATTTTATAATAATAATAACATATTCTGCGTAGAATAATTGTATTTTCATTGTAATTATTATTTTTCAATTACATTATTTACATATTGCTCTATGTACGAAGGGCAAGACGAAATACAATTACTACTAATTTTTTTATACCTAATATACATATAATAAAGTATTTGGAGCTTTTCCATTATTACAAATGGAACAAAACGGACGGCCTGTGTGGTAAAACTATAAACATGAGTTGCGCTATGACTGAACTATGGTATTGTTTTTATAACTTACTTTTACTTCAACTGAACTCTCTTGCTGCATTGTCTCCTTTCACGAATAGATGTATTAATTATGGAATATATTTACATACTCGTAAATGCTTTGTAATGACCGTCTGTGACATTTTAATGCAATGTTTACATTACAATTATTTATGTTTGCGATGATATATTTTGCCAACTCTCACCTTCAAATGGCAAGTGTATGCCAATTTATAACTGCGCCTAATTGATTTATATAACAAAAGTTTGCATGTTCTTATATTTCATCTAATCCTTTACTTTAGCATTAGTTTAATGACATTAACATGTTAAGATTATGTATTTTTGGTAATAGATAGAAATAAATATTAATTATCAGTCTGTAGTAAAGAGTTTTCATATAATAAATTGAAAAAAGATTTGTGGGACGAAATGAAAATGTATTATTTAGAGGAGGTAATGAAGGTATTGAGTATAATTTTTTAGCAAATTGCTTATCTAAAGAGTTCTACCTAACCTTACGGTATACGTTGACAGATTACCTGTAAAGGGTGGGCATGAAGTCGTCACTTAGCCAAAAGTGATGAATTTCCTAGAAATTTATTATGATATTTTTCAGGGTGTACTAACCTGACATAGTAAATCATTAGCAGTGCATCGAGTGATCCCCATTAATAGAAATACCCTCCCTTCTATTTATTTTTATTATGTAGGTAGGTAGATGAATATCTAAACATCAGAAAACATTTTATACTCGTGTAACATTTAATTAAGAGACACATATTTTGGCACTAACATTATATTTAGTCTACAATTTTAAAATGTTTTCATTCGTTTAATTAGTGCTGCACTTAAGTTTGTATCCTCTTGTAATTTATGTGATCAACTGTCGTATTTTTTTTCTTTTAATACTGTACTCTTGGGAGTCTAGCCTTCTAAAATCCGACAATTTGTCTGTAACTACTGACTATTTCAGATTACAGTAGTGAGTAATACATTCTCTTATTATTAGTAATTTAAAAAATGATAAGTAAATATACATTTATTTATGTAGAATTTAGTTTCACAAACTAAGTTACTAACAGGTTTTCACAGAATAAATGTGAATTTGAGAAGGTACATGTAAAGGTCCACTACGATTACAAAGTATTAGGAATAGAAAGAGACACATAGATAGTCTATTGATATATAATGTACATAGTTTAAATAAACGCCTAAAATAAATATAACCTTAAGGCAACATTGTAATTCTGAGTCTATTTTTCAGTCTTTGCTCTAGGTACGTGTCTAGGTTGGTGTGTTGGAAATTTTAGATATGCTTTCTTATATCACACGAAAATACTTAAAAATGTTTATCAAGGACAACTATAATCCCTGCTAAATGATTTACCCATGTGGGCATCATGTTTGTAAATAAATTTATGAATCGCACTATCGTGTCATAATCCGGTACCGACTCAAATAGTAGGTAATTTAAAAATAAGTATAGATAATGTTACATGAAATTAAATTTCAAGATTGTTTAATTATGTTGCAGGTGTCCTTATTTACGAGATGTTGGTTGGTTATCCGCCGTTCTATGATGACAACCCATTTGGTATATACGAGAAAATTTTAAATGGACGAGTGGATTGGCCACGACATCTTGATCAAATTGCAAAAGACGTTATCAAGAAGTTACTTGTTCAAGATAGGACCAAAAGGCTTGGCAACATGAAGGTATGTTATTTACAGCTTAAAATTATGTCTGATCTGATATATCTGATAGGAAATTATACACTTAGGTGCATACAGCTAGGTGCTGGGTTCAGTAGAGCACCTTTCATCTATCATCTGTAAGTTTTCATTCTTAACTAAACAAAAGAAATAACTAAAATCAAATATAAATAAAATATCTATCTATTCTAAAATTAGGTTGTAGCTCCGTTATATTATTAGTTTTATCGTCTATTATTATACATTCATAAGAAAGCAAAGAATATTTTTAGCCGAGTATTATTATTGCCTGCTATTTGTAATAAAAACATTTTCCCGTGAAATACTAAGAATACAAGCAATATTTCAATCACGGCTGACGTTCAAAAATGTATTTATTTCATAGTTTAATGTCGGATTGTTATTACAATTAAGTGACCATTGTTTATTATTAAATTGTAACGAACAAATGAACCTAAAACTGATTTTTGGAGACATATAGGCAATTGTTTATGGTTTTCTAACGATTTTACTGGAAATAATTAGCCTTGGACTTGATCTGTCTGCCAATAGAAGCAAGCGGCATGTCTTTATTTAAGTCTATTTTAGAATCTGGACTATATTTAGCTTTAACTAAAGTGTATTATTAACTTTTACAGCAACAGAAATAATGTGTAGACGTAATTTTAGGGCGTGTGCAAAACAATATACAATATACATATGTTCCCTTCATCTTAAAATAGCTAATGAAATTTAAGACTTCTAACATTACACATTTTAATATTTTTAGCTAATTACAGAAAATTCAAGAAATTTGCTTTATTCAACTTAACTATTCACTATATTGTGTTAAATCTATACTCGCAAGAGTTTCATTTAAATATAAATTGAGGGCTTCAAATTCAATTTACTATAGTATGTGTTATATATGTGAATAGTATTAATGAAATATTAAGTAAACGTTGGAGCAAAGAGCATGATTATGTCATGAATTTTGAAGTTTACTTATGAGTAATGTAGTTATGTCGGTGAAACCAAAATTGCGGTCGCATTTATTTTTTTTTCAGTTAAGAAAAAATATTTCAGTATAGGAGTGATTGATTTTCTGTTCTTGTAACAGTTCCGCTTTGATACTCGATTCATTAAACTCGATTCTATACAAAAAATATTTTATTTAGCTCTTAAACTTGGCCGTACTCCAGCAGCTTCCATATATAACTTCTAATCTCATACATGTCAAGTTGTATACAAGAGTTTTGTAAATTGAAAAGTTGATCGGTTTTCCTTGGCTGAAATAATATTTATTTTTGGATAATCACTTCAGTATTGCTGCAAATTATACATTATATGAGGATGTTTCTATGAGGATTACTTATGCCTTGCAAATACTGGATTATATTAACAATTGTTCGATTGTGGAGCTTTATTGTAGGTTTTTATGTATAGCATGAATAATAATACGTTAGATATACATATTTATTTCCAGTAATAATATTAAGTGGAGTCGACATTTATTATAAAATTTTATATATAAAAATAAACAATATAAAATTTTATTCTATTGACTTATTAAATTAAACTACGATACGATTTGATCGTAAATATAGGAAAATAATGAGAGCTATCAACCTATGCTTGGAGTGTATTTATAAACGTGCAGTTTCTAGCGGTTGTGTATTTTCACCGAGCTTTTTGCGATGTCGCACAGATGTTTAGAAAGCCATCAGTCAAGTGTCCGGCGGCGACATCAAACGGGGCGTCCGGTTGAGTTATGTCGCTATTCGCTTAGCAAATACACTAACTACGGTAGAAAACTTGGTACCTAGTATAGTGACTCCCACTGCCACCGTCGTTACTGATATCGGTTATAAGTTATACAAAGCTCGTTTCTTGTTAAATACACTGATGATAGGATCGATAGTAATGCTTACCATGTACCTATAAACGAATAGTGAATATACTGTTCAAAATCTAGATCTTTTTATGGTCGCATATAAAGTCTTGGGTGTTTCTAAATTTAAACAATTAGCGCGCGGGATTTATGCATGTCCGAATTGCATTGCAATATAATGTGATGAACGTCCTTGAAAGAAAGCTAATTAACTATTTTCTATATGCATATGAACTAGGTATATATGATAAATAAATAATTATATTTAGTATCATACTGGGTATTCATAGATGTTTATACAGATTATATATAATTTTCTATTTGTTATCCGTCACTATACCTGTTTTTTTTTAATAATACATAGCCTGAGTCAGTCTCGTGATCAAATTTCATTAAGATCCGCTCAACTGTATTTAATCCACAATCCATAGCAATAGATTACGATAGATATATTTCTCTATTATGTACACTACAAACAACAATTGTTCTCCATACCTTCGTCTTGTTATTTTTTTGCGCAAACGCATACGTACAATAAGAAGGATTAGATGCATATTAAGGCCAGTGTTGTTTGGCAGCGAAGTACGTGTAATAAACAAGAGTCCGATATGCCTCGCTAATTCTCAATCTAATAATTTACGATGTAACCATTGACCGTCACGTAAGCTGTACTAACATTAACAGTTTAGCTAAAATTAGATATCCCCGGTCTTAATTGTAAAAAAATATCATTCGTGTTACAATATTCTAATTTACTTATTTATTTCAATTGTAAATACTTTACATTTAAATAATACCATGTAACTGACCTATAGTTGTTGCACAGTCTGGAGTCTTTATTATAATTTCAATTAGGGTCACATATATTTAAATTTAAAATAAGCATTACACGCATTTAATGTTTCTTATAAAATGTATCGTAATTTAATGTAAATAAGTAATAATTTAACATGAAAATAATAGGTATATTTAATACTAATAATAACCCCAGGACAATTCACACAACGCCATCTAGTCCCAAGCTAATCCGAAATTATGTTATGGGTACTGCACATCTTATAAAATACATAGACCGCGACCATCGGAAGTAAGGCGGTGTGCTGAACCACTAGACCACTTATGTAAGGTGAATGTATACCTCGTGAATCGTTTAAGTGAATTACAAAATACACATAAATGTAAACAATATATCTATAGTATATGCAGTATGCGAACAACATTTAAAATTATTCTAAAATGATGTATAATATTATTATTTTATTTAATACCTACTTGTTTTGTTTTTCAGTGTGGTTCAGAGGATGTCAAGAGGCACAGGTGGTTTAAACATATCGATTGGGCAGATGTTTTCATGAAAAAGTTACAGGTAATTCTTTTTGCTAAATGTTTTTATATGAGTATTACATATCGGTATATAAAACTATTTCGATCGATTTCTACTTCGCTTTATTGTTCCATATAATATTTTCTTAATATTACTATTAATATAATATTTTTTTAAAATAACTAATTTACAGTAAAAGTATACCAAAGTGTATCAAATTTTATTGCGCTATTTAGAAAAAGGAAATAAATAAATAGGGAGAATAAGAGATACAAAATATTACTGAATAACAAGCAAACAACTAAATAAGACTTAAGTTTCGAAACTATAGTATATAAAAAAGACAATGCGTAAAATATATAATTTAATAAACATAAATTAATGTTACACCGAAAATGATTTTATAGAAACATTCATTTTTGAAAATATCCTATGCCTAATAAAGTTTGTTTTTTCAACAGCCACCAATAATACCGTCGGTCTCCTACGAAGGTGACACCTCCAATTTTGACGAGTATCCGGAGACTGACTGGAAGGCAGTACGTTCCTTGGATCCAGATGAACTCAAGTTGTTCGCCAACTTTTGATGGACAACACATACATTAAGCAGTGGCTATCATTAACGGTTGTTTATCTTCTGGAACAATTAGTTTTAGTCTATGAACAATAGTACGCCATCGTGGAGCTTTTTTCTGTACATAATGCCGCCAGAAGCCTAAGAGTTATACAGTCATTTACGTCATTAGTAGTCATTAGCGTTGTCTATCAAGTTTGGACAGTGGCACTTTTTGATTATTGTAACACGTATAATACAAAAAGTTCTAATAGTAATAACGAAAGAGTAGCGTATGTAAATATTGGGTTTAATTTAATAATATGTTAATTTATTATAAGTTGTATTAAAATTAGTAGAAGAAGGAGTAAAGGACGTAAGAGTTTATTGATAGTAAAAAAATAATAACCGTCCGTTGTTGGAAGATCTTATGAGACTGCAATTAAAGTGTTTTGAAGCATGGTGTAGTAATAATATTAGGCGAACATGCAACATGTGCGCTACATATATTTATAATAAATGCTTAACGAATTAAGTAAGCTCCAGCATACATAGAGATATACAATACACAGAGTAAATTTCATTCAATATACGCAACACATGTGCATTTATTTATAACATACTTGAAATATTCGGCTAAGAGAACGCTTTCCCTAAACGCCTGCATTCCCTGTTAGATTTAAAGGAACTAAAAGTATATTTTGTACAGTATATATTCCCAGTTTCAGCAGTAGATTAAGAAGATTATTATAAGATGTATGATTATCTATATCAAATATCTATGATATTTCTAAGGTAATATTTAGGTAGTAAATAATTTGGTTGGTTTATTACTTAAATATTATCTTAGAAATGTTATAATAGGTAAATTTGATGGATATTTTTTTGCATTACATAATGAGAGCGTCCTCTTAGAATTTCGCAGCTATTCACAATTATCTAGTGATCTTAAATATCCTAATATATAACTAACTAAGAATCATTGAATGATTTATTTCTTTATTTTCATGTTGTGAGAATAACTTGTGTCCTATAGAGGGTTAAATAGTTAGTAGTAGTTATTAATACGGTAGGTTCGATTTATCGAGTTCTATCGACAAAATGATGAAGTCAGTTAAATTTAATTTATGTATAATAATAAAATATATTAAATTGCACTGCGTAGGGTTTAAGAAAGCCAGTCGATACGACATATATTTTTAATATTGCCAGAAAAGTTATATGTAATTAAAAATTAAAATAAATAAATTTTAAATTAATCACGCTTTACAATTCCATTGCTTCTTAGTGCAAGGTTTAAATTATTAGTCGTTAGATAATTTAGTTTTATTTTGTTGTATATAGTAGTTCAATATTTTTGATTATCTGTGGGTTAGTATAGTTTCAAGAAACTATGAAGAGTGTTATATGATAGTTTGGTCTGAGCAAGAAGGATTCTTATCTTTCTGTTTAAGTTTTTTTATACTCCGACGGTAACAATCAAGCCCTTGGTAATCAATATGGCGTTTTTCTTGCTATATGGTAATCGTAACCTATGCAACAATGGAACACCAAAATAACACACTTTTGTCCGCACTTTCTATTCACCAATCGTGTTAGATCAATATCAAATAGAGCTAGAATTTATATTATCATATGTAACACATATATTTTTGTTTGATAAATGGGTTAAAAATACACAGAACATTAATTTCGTTTACATTTCATAAATAGAATAAAATAATAAGCACAGAAGTCTTCTGTGCTTGAACCCAATTTTACGAAGATTTATTGATTGTTATTTCTTTTTTTAGTTTCATCCACTCTTTCATAGTCGTTCCAGATTATCTACTGAATCGTTATCGATTCAATAGATAATGAGGAACTATAATTTGCATATGCAAAATAAGGTTTTAGACGTAATTTTTTTGCTATACATTGAAAGATAGGTCAGTAAGGATATTTGTTTTTCGAAAGGACAATTAGTCAAGATTTTGTTTGGTGTCATGCAATTTTGTATAATATAAATTTTATTATATGTGTTATATTATATTTTTTTTTGTGTGGAACTGCACCTAGTTTTTGGTAAAAATATTAATTTCTGTTTATGATTTGTCGATTGGTAAGTATTACATATTTTCTGTATGTTTTTACGAAATAACCTTAAGTATGAAAAAGCCATATAATTATATATAAAATCGGTTATTTACACCTGTTTTAACAACAAATATTATTAATTGTTGTTATTTTAATTTATGGTAAACAATTTATTATGTAACAATGTTATTAATTTTTAAGAAATAATTTATATAAAAACATATTTTAATATAACTTTATCTAAGCTACAGTTCTATTCTATATTAGTACATTGTCTTACAATATTACCACTACAAATCAATTTCAATACCAAGATTTATATATGACAGATGTAAGTAGGTACATATATATGTGTATGATATTAAGAAAAATAAAATAACCTAATAGAAATGTTATCAATCTTGCAAACTACAATCACGTATGAAACAAATTTCGTATTACTGCATAATAATACGAAATTTGTTTCACACGTGATTGTAGTTTAAAATGACAACAAATTTCTATGTAAAACAATTAATGTTTGAGGTTAGTTGGAGATCTATAGGAACGGTAAACATACTGCTAGAGCACAAATAGTGGACTAATAGGATGGTTATGTGACGTGAAATCTATTTTTATTAAAAAATATACTGAATAAATAATTTAAAAATGAATTGGTAGTAATAACCAAATAAGTAATGTTTATCTGATTTTATATAATATTGTAAATATTGGATATATTTAACCAACAATCTATACGGTAAGCTTTATGGACCGTTGGTTGACTATTTCCGAGGTTTTCTCCTATTTATTTGAGCTCGGCTATGGGCTTAACTGTTCTCGAAGAGATAAATGTGTATTATTTATAAACAGGCCATATAATATATATATACTTTCTGTGATGTCATTAGTCTTGAAATTCATAAAAAAATTAAGCAAAACATTGGAGATTTTTAATTAATAAAATTGAGAATGTTGACAGGGTTGTAAATTATAAAATACCTATATTTAAAATTTAATAATTTGTAAATACACGGAATAAATGTGTTCTTTAAAATATCAATTGTGTTTAAATGTATTGCATGATTATTTATAATAATAATAACCCAGGATAATTCACAGACCCATTTTTAGTTAACTTGAAGTTAACCAACACTTATGTTATGTGTACTAAACAACTCATAGTAATACATGAATACACTTTTTATGTAAATACATATAAAACTTCCATGGACAATAATAACCATAATCAACAATTCTTTGTATCGAATTGAACCCGCGACTATCGGAAATAAGGCGGCCTGTCATGCTAAATATGCCTATACATACGTCAAATATACATACCCGCGTTAAAAAGTAGATGGATCAACGTAAACAGATCGTACGCAAGCCATATGTTGTAAAAGATTACAAAAGACGTTTCGGAATGCACTGAAAAAGAGATTTGGAAACAGTAAATTTGATTTATACGTTTCTAATGTAAACTTAGGCATTTTAAACTGTTACTGACGTACTCGAGTTATGAAATGTCCATTCTTCTAGTATACATACATATGCCCGTGATTTCACCAGTGTGGCCTGTCTGAGTTAATGGATCGGTATAAGAAATATCTGCTTATATATTCTTACTAATATTATAAATGCGAAAGTAACTGTCTGCTTGAATTTCTGTGTATCTATATGTCTATCTGTCTGTCAGTTTGTCTGACACGTTATCACGCCAAAACTACTGAACCGATTGAAATGAAATTTAGTACACAGATAGTCTGAGAAAAGACATTGGCTAATTTTTAATACAAAGAAAGGCTCATAAGACGTTGAAAGTGGAGACCAAAGGTTATATGGAAGGATCGTCATTATTAAAGCTAGAGCTTTAAACTTATGTTTTAGGATGTTGATTAAATATAAATAACTATTCAAAGTTTGATTAAATTTTACCCTTAAGGTGGTACTTAAAATGAAATAGGGGATATAAGTTTGTATGGAAATTAGTCATTATTTAAACTAGAATGATGATTTTCTGTTTGGCTTTATATAATTAGAGTAAATAATTAAAAATTCTCGTCTGAGTGGAAAACTGACCTTGAATAACAATATTAAAGGTCAGTTTTCCACTAAAACGAAGTCGCATAGACAGTATTTTTTATACCGGGACGTAACAGACTCATTTCGGCCTTCAATGTTAAGATTCTTATACAATAGGTATTGTTAAAAAGTAAATTGAAGAAAATACGTTGAAAACTATTTGAATATAAAAATACGGATACAGACAAACAGTACTTAATTATTTGTAAAATTTTAATAAAATTACAATTAACGTTATAATAACAATATCGCACAAGCTGCACAGTTTAATTTGATAGTAAGTTTTAAATATATTTAAGTAAGATTGACGATTGTCAGCTGCTTGCTCTATTTCGTTCGGAACTAGATCGCAATTTATTTACCGTGCAAAAATAACCCACTGGAACTATAGTACTAAGAGTGTGTGAAATAAAACATGTATGTAAATACCTATTATATATAGATATATATATATACATACATATATATCCGTACTAATATCCCGTATCTTGTGCCACGGTTTTGAAAAAAATCCTTCATGTAACTCTGTAAGTAGTGTAAATTTTTAATAATAGTTTAAGGAAATGAGATACGACAATTAATACCTAACTGACGTTTATCATTGGGTTACAACGTAATATATTCATTACGGAATCGTGTCTTATATTATACATACCTACATCTCAAACATGTTATGTTATATAGGGCTAATGCATTATTTAGTATCATTTCTTGACAATATATATATATATATATATATATATATATATATATATATATATATATATATATATATAGGTAGGTATATATATATAGTTGTATCTATGCATGGTATATAAGCTTGTGGATTATAGATATCAATAATCAACAAGATACTGTACTACACATATATATATTTATAACTTATATCTAATTACATAACTATTAAGTATATAATAAACATAATTACGTGGTTAATTTAGTATTGTTGACCGCCGTTCGCGAAAGTGACAGGACGAAGTATTCTCTATTGCAAAAATGCCGTCCATACGACCTTTACCCGCAGAATTAGCCGAGAAGGCACGGCTGGAGTTGAATGAGGATAGTAAGACGGTGGAGGCTGATATTGAACACCTTAAGGATTGGATAAAGAAGCAACCGCATTTACGTGCCAGAACAGGTATTTATTATTATTGGTTACTTCGCGAATTCGTCTATCTTTTCATCACACTGTTGACAAAAATGACATAATATATACTTAAGTTGCTTCAAATCTATATAAATAAATATTAATTTGCCGAAAGTAATAAATTCAGAATGACTTATCTATTTGCTTGATTTCCTTTTGTTATTTCTACATGTCAGCCTGTGATGAATTAATATATTTTATTTAATAAACTTCGAAATGCAAAAAAAATCTAATAAACTCCGCATAATAAATTAAAACTCTTTGGAAGACTTAACAGATAAATGTTTAGTTGTTGTATTATTGTATTAATTTAACGATTCAAATTATATAGAAATTATTCAATAATTTGGGAACATTCGTTATTAGTATAATTTTAAATATCGATTCAACTCTTTAGCAATTAAAGTACTGTAACACAATTTAATTTTTTTGCAACAAGTGAAATCAGACCGCAAATTTTCATTTACTAATCTAATTAGTCAAACTACTAGTTCAATTGGTGTAATTTAGTGTAATTTGGTCTATTATATAATAATTAGGTACATTTTAAAACTTGTAGCTTTATGATTTTGGTTTGGAAAATGTACGAAAAAGTCATTCGAAAGTTAAGAACTATCAAGATAAGGCATTATCTCTGACGTTTTTAACCATGGTTGTATTTCATACAAAAAGAGAATATTATTAGAATTGTATTATTTTATAATGTAAAAATAATACAATTTTATGTTATTGAATCGGACTTTTATATTATGCAAAAGATCCTCAAATACATTTTTTAAAGATTGTAAAAAAATATAATGTTTTGTAGATGACCAGTGGTTGATTGCATTCTTACGTGGATGCAAGTTCAGTCTGGAGCGAACTAAAGAAAAGATAGACTTGTATTATGCTCTGCGCACGACAGCACCTGATTTGCACAGAATTAATCAGAAACATAAGATGTTTGATGAAATTCTCGATCTGGGGTATGTATAACTTTATTATAATTAGAAGAAAATGATTGAAATTGGTAGATGTAAGTTAATATAATTTATCATTTTGCCTGAAAAAAAAATTATGAAAGTACTTGATAAATAAATAAATATAATGAGTAATGTAATTTTGAAAATACATATTACTTCGTGCTTATTGTATACTAGCTGTGTCTGCGGTTTCATCCACGAGATTTTTTTAGCATATATGTTATTCTGATATATAAGCTATATTATTGGAAATTTTCATGAAAATCCGGTCAGTAGTATCTGCGTGAAAGAGTAACAAATGTCCATACTCGCAAACATTAGCATGTATAAATTAATAAGATGTAATATACACAAATGGCTCATATATAGACATCTTATAAGATGTTACTCCTGTATTAACACTAAGGTATATCTATGTACATTCAACGATTGAGAGTGACCTACAAAGAGCAGAATCGAATGAGTCTACCAACAATATACAGTTTTTTTTTATTTTATTTAGGATCACCAACAATTGTTACAATCATACAATTAATTTATTTACATATAATGGGTTATGGTCTAATTGTACAATCATATATAGGCGAACACGGCATGCAAAATAATAATGAGAAACCATGAAAATAAAATGGTTAAAAATAAACAAAAAAACCCACATCACTTATTTTTAGACATGAGATCTGTCTGTAGTTTTATACGTCACCATGTTGAACGGATTTCAAAGAAAATCTAATGGCTTGGCAGTGTCCCTAATTAAAAAAAAGCTATTGTATATGTATTTTATGGAAATCGTCGTAGTAAATCCTGATAGTAAAATCGGTATTTTTACACCGTGATGGTGACCAATAAGCATACGGCCCATACTTTTATTGTAGTTGCCTAGAACATTGTGGTTCTCGTAAATTGTTAAGTTTTGCAATTATTATGTTGAAATATGATAAGAGTTTCTACTATGAAGAACTTAACCATACACTATTGGAAGATTTACAAAATATTTGACTGAAATACAATTTTGCAAAATAAATTTTGCTTTAATTAATATATGTCTAAGTTACGGAAATGGAAGTAACTGTTAGCACATGAAACCTCTTTTTGTATAAAAGCCATATAATTGTAATTAAAAATAAAATAAAAACTTCTTTTCTTTCTGTCAACACGGTCTATCATTTATTATTAATTTTATTGATTTTAATTAACATTTAATTTATTATTATTGTTAGTGAGAAACACTAACAGTAACTTTATCAAACATGTATAACAGAGTAGTTACATATGAAGTCCTGATGTTTTTAATTTTTATAGATCATTTATATTCCTACCGAAAGGCGCTGGGCTGACAAAACCGGCAGTGGCCATAGTTCGGCCCGGAACATACGATCCCAATAAGTACTCAGTTTCGGATGTAGTATCAGTATCCAACCTAATAGAGAAGGTACTTTTTATTATTCATTAAATCACTTTCCTGATTTTATCTTAATGTATTGTACTTCATAGTTTTATATTTGCTACACGAATTAATGGACCAGTCAATTAAATTTTACCTTAAATATCTTATAACCTTAAAAATATTATATTTGCCTATACTATGGAGTATGGGGACAGATTAAGGCTACAAAGTGTTAACACTCCTCTTTATTCCCAGAATATTGTAAGAAACAATAGGGGAAAACTCCTGATAACACCCTAAAAGTTAATTTGAGTAGTGCGCAAATACTTTTGTTGCGGTGAGAGACCCTTGCCTAATAATCGGACAATAATGAATTGTCATGATGATGATGATGATGGCTCAATATATTTTTTATTATCTTTATCTTTACGATAATGCGTGTAATTAATTGTTTTATTGGGTGTGTTTATCTTTCAATTTATGCTACAAAAATAAGCAGTATTTTGATCAGTACTAATTATCAGAACACTATTTATTATATTTTTGTATTCTTTTTAGATTGTTCTTATAGAAAATGATAATGCTGTCATATCGGGTATTCAGAATATTCTGGATTTGGAAAATGTCACTATGGCTCATTTTTTGCAACTAACTCCCTTTCAAATGAAAAAAATGGTCATGCATATGCAGGTACGGTATCAGAAAAAGAAACAAATGAAATTACTAAAAAACTGATCAAAAATCCTTTATTGAGTTTTGCATGATATGAAAGTAAGTCATGCTTAGACGGTGTTATGTTCCACAAGAATGTCAAGTTGGTATTATTGTAATATCAAGAGAGTAATTAAACTTTGGTTGTCAATGTACACGTCATAGATATTTCACAGAGCTGTTTTCGTATGTTTAAGCATAAGTCAGGAATAATATTGTAGTCCTTTGTCGAATTTTTACGCATTAAAGTAAAAAATATTCAATATTATTCATAGAGCTACTCAGATAAATATATTAAAGTCAATTTACTATTGAAATGAACAGGGGAACCAGTAATAGAAAAAAAGTATTTTTAACCTTATTAGTCCATATTAATAATTTTGCTTCTTGTGAACCATGAAGTACATATGTACAATGTTTCCTTCCTTATAGGATGCTACACCTTTCCGGATGAAAGGAGCCCATTATTTAAATACTCCCACGGGTTTCGAAGCTATTTTCAATGCCATCAAGGGACTACTTAATGAGAAAAATAAGAGTAGGGTAAGTGTCATTCTACATAGTTTTGGACAATGAATCTAATTATAACAAAAGATAGAATTTCATGTTCGATTCATACATACATTAAAGTACATCTTACTCGTTGTAGCTCTACGTACACAATAAGAATTATGAAGAAATGTATAAGCATATTCCAAAGGACATCTTGCCTGCTGAGTATGGCGGTAATGGTGGAACAATAAAAGAAATTATTGGTAAGTTTAAAATAATTGTAACTTGACAAAGAGGAATATGGTACCCAGAAGAGATAATTCAAAGTAAAATAAAATTCATAGTAATAAGATAAATAGGCAAACAGCAGTATTTCAAAATAATTTCAGATCGATAAATCAGAATATGGTACCCAGGCTATATAATTGTGTGGTATGATTAGAATTCATGTTAGCTGAGTAGATTAGGAGTGGGTTCAAAGTAAGAGTTATAACAGTAAAAGTAATAACACTATCTCCAGATTCAGGAGATAGTGTTGTTGCCTGATTACTATGACAGAAATCGTCAAGATTCTCTAAATAAATCAACGCATTGCTAAACAAACTTCTTTTTTCGATAAATAATTTTGAAGAATATGGTTAGGCACATTCTGTAAACGTACAAAATATGTATAACGTTGTACATGTTTATATCAATAATAATTACTTTGATAAAAAGATAATCGGTGAATAAGCATATTATGTTCTTTATTTAGATTGTGAGTGTTAGTAACCTACATGTACATGACACACCTACTCTTAATGTTGCTATTCTTACGTTAATATCTCTATTCAATACTAACTATTATTTTAGAAATAAGGAATCTAAAGAGTTTTTACATCTGCCATTGTGAATTAATTATCTTCCAAAATATAGACAAGATATTGTTGAAATCTGAAAACTATAATGGAAATGATAATGTGGGTATAAGATTAATGGTCTTGTATAGTTATGAGTACGGGCATAGTGGTGGAAACAAACGATGGCGATGTACTGAATAGCGGATTATAATATATTTCTTTTATTATCAGTTACCATAAAATATGATTATTTTATGGTAACTGATAATAAAAGTAAATAAAAACAAACCTATGTTAAAAACTTTCCTAATTAAATTATTTTTTAATTTATTTATTTGCTTTAGGCAAGTTAATATTACATACATATATGACAATTTATGTATGTTATCATAACACAGAAATAGAATTAGAATATTTTTTTTCCCTTGTGTAATTAGTGTGTATATATTAGTAATTAGTGTTTATAATTGTGTGTTTATATATTAGTATATATAATTAGTAAATACCTAAATTACTTCGTAGTATTCAAGGCAGATAGGCTAGGCGATGTAGGCTACTCTTTGTCCATTTTATAGATTTGAAAACATAGGTAAGACAAAATATTTTATTAAAAACAATTTTTTATCTGACTGTAACAGATTACTGGAAGAACAAAGTGCGAGAATATAGCGCATTTTTGGATGAAGATTTAGAATATGGCACTGACGAATCTAAACGACCTGGGAAACCCAAGACTGCAGAAGATATGTTTGGTGTAGAAGGTTCCTTCAGGAAGCTAGAATTCGATTAGTGGCTACTAAGGCTAAGGTTCTATTGTAGATGTTCGGAGCTTTGGTTAATAGTTGTGTATATTATTATATTATTTACAAATAATGTTTTACTTATTTTCGAAGTTTTACTCATGTAATTTGAACGTTATATATTTATTAAACAATAAAGAAAGGAAATTCTTTTATTTAACCTTACTTTATTAAGGTAAAATTTAAGTTAAAATATTGACTACAATATAAGGTGCAGCCAGATTTGAAATAATGTTTAATTCAATTGAATTTATGTAGAATATATTATATTCTACAAACATACAACAAAACTAAAACGTTGTACATACGATTCTATATTGCGTATCTGTTAAACATTAGATGATCATATCAAATTAGAGGTTAGTTTCGTTTAGACCTTAGTTCACAAGAGGTTTTTAACTCGTAAGTATCTACAACGCGTAACACCGTACAATCTTAGATGTTCAGAATGTCCGTAGGCAGGGATTACAATGTTCCATTATTAGGGACCGTCCCGTCCGTCTGCATAATGAAATCGTAATACCTTTATATAAAATAAGTGCCCAAATGATAATAACTCAATAAGAAAATAATTGATTTGAGAGAGATTAGCACAAAATAATAAATATATCTATATTGTTATAAAGGGACTAATAATCTATTAAAAAATTACCAAAGTTTTGGGTCAGAGCAGATTAGATAGAAAAAATTATATAAATTGTTCAACAATTTACAAGTAATTTTATCAGTTCATATTTTTATAATTTCGAACATGTTAAGATATTGATGGTCTCAATTTGATATATATACACAAAAATAATCAGTTTTAACAATATATAAAACTTTTTATCATACTTATTAATTTCTGCAAGATTATAATAATACTAACCTTGTATATGACATTTACCTATTTTGATAGAATTATTAATAAATGAAGTTATCATATTTGTATATTGTATAACTGCTTATTTACTAACAGAGAATTATAATATCGGATTGGAATATAAATTTACTCCGAAAAATAATCACGATGACCTCGGCGGTCTTGCGGTCTAGCACACCGCCTTACGTCCGATGGTCGCGGGTTCGATTCCTCGCACGGCACAAACATTTGTATTCATGAGTATGATTGTTTGTATCAGTCTGGGAATTTTCTATGTATAATATGTATGTATTTACGAAAAAAAAATTATCTATGTATTTGTATCAGTTGTCTAGTACCCACAAGACAAGCTTTAGCTAGCTTAACTTGGGTCTAGATGGCGCTTTGTGAATTGTCCTGAGATTATTATTATTATTACTTATCAAAATTTATAATCCAGGGTTCGTTATCAATGTTTTAAAATAAGGTTTTAACATGTTATTAATGAAATTATAATAAACTCAGCTTATTTGTGTAATAAGTTATTTTATTTTATAGATCTTTTCTATTGATACCTACTTAATATTAGAATTATGAACAATAATCAGTTTATTAATAGCTTTTGATAACTTTTAGATATTTCATCATATTTAACATACCTCTATAGTTGTTATAGTTACGACTTCAAATATTACCTACCCAGAAGGTTATTATATTGACTTGACTGCATTTTGCTATTTTTGTAACGTCTGTATATTATATGTATATTAACACTGAAGTCGATTTTTTTTGTTAATTAATATTGTATAAGCATATTAAAATATATATTAGTTACTATAAAATATAACAAGTATTAATATCGCAAAAAGATTATTGATATAACTGATACGGATATCTATGTATTTACTACTTGACTTTGCGTCGACATTACCGGAATATTATCATAAAAGTGATTAAACTATTGCTAATCAAAAGACAATTATATCATTACAAGTGTCTTGACAATACATGCACGCAGTTTTATTATAAAGAACGCAATATAAAACATAAATATTAAGTTAAAAAAAAATGTCTGTTCGTCCTCTGACACCTGCGCTGGCGGAGAAAGCTCGTGTGGAACTGAATGAAGATCCTAAGAGACTGCAAGAGGATCTACAACACGTCAAGAATTGGCTGGCGAAGCAACCGCACATTCGAGCCAGGACCGGTAACGTTCTTACTCTATAGATACTCATTTTGTTTTTATCTTATTGTATATAGTTCTCCTGTACGTGTTTGCCATCTAACTTCTAAACAATAGAATCGATTTGGATCAAATTTTGTGTGTGAATTTCGATGGGTTCTTGAATGGTTTGAAAATACAATTGGAAGATAGGCACTTTTCGGCAGGACGACATATGCAGAGTTCTGGTAAAAAAATATACCTACGCCATTTTTACATTCAAACAGGTTGGTTGCAACCTGTCTTTCTGTCTAGAGGGCGGGTTAAGGCAGAAATGTGATATAAAATACTCTTAATGCATAAACATTAATTGATTATAGCACTAGTTCTAATTTAATATTATACTCGTTAGTATGTTATATGTCATACTACAATTTCCCATAGAATATAAATCATAGAGCAATATAGGCTTATAGATCGAGCAATCTCTTCCAGACAAGTTTTGGGAGGCGAGAAGACGGAATGTAGTAGATGTCGCAGTAATTTTACTGTACTGGTACAGACGGATTGTTAAAACATTTGAGTTCACTTTAAACTTAACTGCTCGGGACTACGAAATTGATGCAAACTTCTATTGAAAATAGATTATCTAATACTTTGAACACAATGGTGTATTTCGAAGTAATGAAAATAGCTACATAGGATACAATAGGTATGAATTACCTACCATATTTATATGAATTAACGAACTAATAAGTAACCAAACAATTAAGAGACCTTTCCTTTGGAGAGCGCGATTAGTACATAAATTTTACGAGCATATATAAGCGACAAACATTATACTTCAACTTTTATTTATCTGTAATAGCACTGTCAGTTTGTTTAGTGTACAAAGGAGTACCTACATGTTTATTCTCTTTTAGGTTTATCTATTTATTCGTTAAATTTGTTGCACCTTTTAAATTCTTACAGAGAATCTGTCTTATTTTATTGCAGATGACCAATGGCTCACTGTTTTCCTGCGTGGTTGCAAATTCAGTTTAGAACGAGTGAAGGAGAAAATTGATCTTTATTATACTATACATACAGCAGCACCAGAACTCTTCCGACTAAAGCATACTGAGCCATTGTTCAAGGAAATTTTCGATTTGAAGTAAGTATTTACTAATATTGTAATATTAAATAGTTTATATAATAATAATTTATAGTAATAGTAATATGTATATAATAATAGTAATATTAGATATTTTCATAGGATTGTTATAAGATTTAAAGGAATATTTACTATTAAATACGGCAGAGCTTTTTTAATATCAGCCTATAGCTGTCTACTATTAGGCATAATGCCTATTATCTTTCATAATGTGCGATTTACCGCATTCATCCGTATACAACTGCCATCTATTATATTTCCTTTGTTTACAGGCTTTTAATAGTGCTACCGAAACTTCCAGCGCCGGATTCTCCGTTAATATCAATTTTCAGACCTGGAAAGTATGACCCCCATAAATATAACATTACCGATATTATGTCTGTAACAAACGTTATCCAAAAGGTATGTATTAATATGATAAGTACATTATATAAAAAAAAATCGACTACCTAATACAGCAAAGTGTCATGTGATCAATAGGGTCCATGAATTAAAAATGTAGTCACAAGCAGTCGCTGTATTTTATTATTATATTGTTTTTCCAGACATTATTTAAATATCAGTAGATAGAAATATTAGCGATTGAAAAACTATTGCAAAGTCGTCACCTCTTGGATTTTTGTAATGATACATACATATGACCATATTTGAGAGTACGGCGGTGCCTATCGAAAAATATGTACTACATTAGTCATACATATACAAAACTAAAAAAATGATCGTATAAAAGATGTTATAAGACAAAGACACTACACAACTGTTATTAACTGTGGATTAAGATGCTAACTAGAGATTTTGATTTTATGCTCTAGAAACAAAGACTTTCGGAGACATTGCCAGATTACGGTATAAACCTTCTTAGACTAAAAGTATGACTGTTTATTATTTAAGTTTCTAACATAATGAATTTCTTTCAGATTCTATTGGTCGATAATGACAACGCTTCTGTGGCGGGATTCCGGTTTATAATGGATTTGGAAGGGGCTTCAATGGCTCACTTCTTACAAATGTCTCCGACACTAATGAAAAAGGCGACTGTGTTTTCACAAGTAATTAGCGATTTTTATGTAACAACATTATATATATGAACTCAAATAAAAATAACTTTATTCATGTAAGTCTATCACAGACTTACAGAATGTTATTTATCATTTGGAGGAAATGACATACAGTATATAAAATAACTACGTAGTTCAATTATAATTTCAACAAAACTTATTGAAATATTTTAATATTAATCAAATCGCCTTTAAGTGGTTAATATGTCATATTTTTCCGGATGTTAAACAAAACCATCTGCTGTTAACCACGCGATGACAAGTGATTTTTTTCCATTTATTGAATGCCTGATCGCTGAGAAATTAGACTGAGGGCTAGTAATAAAAAACAACATATTTTTTTAGATTTTATTATTAAATCTATAAAATGTAATCAGCAAAATATAAGCGGCTAAAATGTCCTACATGAATAAATGATTTTTGATTTGGAGTCACTTGGCTATCCAGTTCATACAGTTGGTTTAAAAAAATTTAGATGTGCGGCTAAAATTGATTTTTAATCTAATTGCTAACAATCTATTTTTAAGTATAAAAGTGAAAAATCAATTTTATTCTTCAGGATGCATCACCAGTGCGCATGAAAGGTTTCCATTACTTAAACACTCCACCAGGCTTTGAAACTGTTTTCAACTTCATGAAAGGTCTACTCAACGAAAAAAATCGAAATCGTGTAAGTAAAATATAAAACAAAATAAAATTCTAAATCAATAATCGATAGATAATAATGTCGTCTTTCGTTCTTACATATTTCGAAACTGTTCGAAGCGATAGATTAAAAGATATTTAAATATTCTTTTTATTAAGCATGTACATTTTTAACAGCTTTACGTTCACAACAAAAATTATGAAGAATTATACAAGTACATTCCGAAAGACATTTTACCTATTGAGTATGGAGGAACCGGTGGAACAATTGACGAAATTACAAGTAAGTAAAAAAGGTTTTACGATTAAAATTTTAATGTCGCCAAATAAAATACAGCGTAGGTATGGTAAAAATTCGATAATAAATATAAGTTCCAAGTTTACATTGACATATTTGATAAACAAATATTGAACTTACATAAAATAAATCAACGCTATCACCATTTCATTTAATTCTACCTTCATTATGATACATTGTTAGAATATTATAGATTCTAAATTTGAAAAATCTGTGTATTTGGAATAGTGATAATTTCTTTCAATTAATGCTCTATAAATATTGGGTATATTGGACTGTATCAAAGTAATCTCGAGTAAGATGAGATAGAGAAGATCTAAGAGTTAGATGTTTATTTTTTTTAATTCTGATTTTAATTAAAGAAGAATTATTATCTGCTACTACGTTCTTCTTTATTTGAAATCAGATAAAAATAAAATTCTAAGAATATATGTTATGATAATTGAATATGAAATTAACTGTTTCGAATATTTCACAGATCACTGGAGACAAAAAGTTCAAGACTACAGCTCCTGGATAGAGCAAGATCGGACGTATGGTGTGGACGAGGCTAAGCGGCCGGGCAAACCCAGGACAGCGGAAGATTTGTTTGGTGTTGAAGGCTCCTTCAGACGTCTGGAATTCGATTGAATTATTAAGTTCGAGTATAAGGATAAAGGGTTTATATCGCTTTTATTTTGTTTTTATTACTTTTAAGTGAATAAAGTAAAAAAATATATAATAAATTTATTTGTAATTTGTGTTAATTATTTTATAGTATGTATGACAGAAACTCAAAACAAAACCTTATGGTTCTATCATGGCAATAGTAAGCCTTTTTTATGAGTCTAGTAATGAAACAATGAAAGTACTCTATGACATAAAAAATATTTGAATATCAAAAAAACGACTTATACCTCGAAAAAAAAATTGTGAAATCAACAAGGATGCAGCCTACTTATATCTATAGCAACATAAAATAACAATCGTATAATTAATAATCATACAAATACACAGATAATTTGTTCGTGAAATACACTCCGAGTAACATGTACATGATATCTACTAGATATCCTATAGATTATCAGATCAGGTCTCGACAGTTACTTTTTGTAATTATTTTGATAATTTTATCTATATATTTGCCAACACGCGTATTAACTGAACGGTGGCAATAATCTACATAAAACTGATCAATCAGATTAATTGATAATTGTTATGTATATATATTAATAATGGTTAGACAATCACTTTAATCGATTTAGCAGACTAAAAATATATTTATACATTAATCAGAACATCAACATGCAGCAATATTGGGATCACAAACTATATATAGTTAGTTTTTAGTTTCCTATAGTCCTCAATAAGGTGATGCACTAAAGCAATGGCTAACACAAGTGAAATTGCTGTTGTAGAACTGTCAGGAGAGAGTTATGTTTCTATTCATATTCCGTAATCCACACACAGGAATTTAGAATATGTATAGGAACATAACTCTCTCCTAACAGCTTTAAAAACCTCTGTACTCATTCAGGTATATATAATAGTATACTGTGCGTTAAGTGGGATATTGTTTCATTGTGTATCAAATCTTATTAAAACTCAGATGTCTAGCGTATGACTCTGCAATAAATGGCTGAACATTTATGAATTTGATAGAGGGATGCTATTTAAGAGTTGGATTTTTTAAATATATATAAAAGTTAAAGTTTCCAATTTTCTACATAATAAATAACTTAAAGAAGGTCTAGTTTATACGAATGAAGAATTATTTTGTAAAGTAACTTAACACCAGACTGTGCATTCCATTTTATACATATAGCGTTCTCAAGTCTATACAGAAGGTATAAGTTGCAAATTGCAATATAAAGCGCTTCCAAATATTTTTATTACTTCGAGTAGGATAGGATATTCTACTTGTTCTTCTTTGGAAGTAAGTAACAGCAAGTATATAAAGTTATGTACATATAGCAGTACATATGTATATAACATTAGACAGCCCAGTGGCTGTCCTCTCATTTATCTATGATGTTGTATGTACGTCCTTTATGTATTTAGTGGCATTCAATGGCGATTTTGTAGGGGTTTAATATGCAGTGTAAATAAATTAGTGTGTAATAATTTTAAGTGCTTTGGTTTGACAAATTTAATGTAACATACAATGATAATGTATATCATCATAATATAATATAAAATATTATACAATATTTTAACTATTTATATTCAAAACTTGATTATCATAGTGTATTAGCGTAATTACAATTATGACGTAGTTAAGTAACATGAAGCAAGTCATGATGACTAGTAATGTCAAGAATGGTGGTGGCGCGATGGACTTTCATCGATAATTTGCAGGGCATATACTTTAAGTAATAAGGTCATTTTCTGGTACGATCATTTGTGCAAAGTAATCACTGATTATTAAATTTATTAATGAAAATATCAAATGTATATTACACATATTTTAACTACACTTTAAAATTTGTTTTTTCGAGGACTTAAAATAAAAAAAATTAAAGTTTTTATTTTAAATATAATTGAAAACCGCGTCATTGTCAAAATTTATAAGAATAGTAAAAACTGGTGTTATTCTATATGTTTCACTTTGTTATTTGACTATTACTATTTTCTCTGAACTAGTTCAAGGTCTTCATCGTTATCACAACAACTCTTTATTGTTGTAGTGCTGAGTCCCGAACTAATAACAGTAAAAAATATAGCATATTTTCTATTGGAAAATTTTACCCTGTTTCGAATTAGTAGGTAATAGGTTAGTAACTTATAATTCCGTGAGAGAGAAACGTCTTGTTAGAAAATGTTTGTGTTTATGAATGAGTAAATTTTTACTGCTAAGTCAAACATTCTTATAATTCACTCTAGATGACCATAGTCTATATTACATACGAATCCAGGATGGTCGTTAATTTTTAATGCAAGTACAGTAGGTACTAAAGTAAAGATAATGAAATCAAATTAAAAGATTGTATGTCCAGTAACTGAAGATATGATTTTATAATAGACTAAAAAACAACAATATCAGCAATATACCTTTTTAGTTGGCTTGTTGATGGATTAATAAGATGATAACATTGGCCGATTAAAAGTAGTAATAAGTAGACTTGCATGGACGTCCTGTGAGGAATAATGTGTTCAATATAACAATCCGTTATTTATTAAAAATGTCTATCCGTGCCCTTTCCCCCGAATTAGCCGCGAAGGCTCGTGTAGAACTAAATGAAGATCCCAAAAGATTAGCTGAAGATTTGCAACATTTAAAAGATTGGATCGCAAAACAACCACATCTAAGGGCTAGAACAGGTAGGTACCTATTTAATGCATTTTATTGTGACATCATTTTAATAGGCATTTTAGGCTTAGTTTTTATTTTAATTGTATAGTAGGCGAATTCATTGTTATTATTGAAACAAACAGTATTTATATATAAAAAAGTAATAAAAAAATGTATGTAGACAGATCATGTTAGTTCTGAAACACTTTCATAAACTATGCTGGAGTTTATGAAACTGTTTCACAACAAATATGATCTATATATATATATATATTTTATTACTTAGTTTTTGAGTAAATGAGTTAAAAGCATTAATTTTAACATACATTATGATAGTTCAATATATAGCATAATTATATATGATAATATTTAAATCTGTTGTGTACACCACTAACCATAATGTTTAAGAGGATTTTCTCTAAAAATGCGATATCTTAAAAACTTATTGTGACATTAAATTAGAAAAAACAACTCTTACAACGACAAAACAAATTTTAGTATTAGAAATTGTTCTCAAAATTCAAATCAATATGTGCTACGGAACTCTAAATTATTACAATAATGAATTAGTTGTTTAATGTTATTGAAAATATATTAGTAAGTACTTCTAATGTTCCGTGTTGGTAGTTTATCTGATTATAACTTAAAAATATATATATATTTCTTTAAATTTATCTAAGGAGATAATTACAGATCATGAATTAAACACAGCAATTAATGTTAAAAATATTATAAAAGTTTACTGTATTACTAGAAATCAGCTGACTAATTATGTAATTGATGTTATATGCCTTTCTTTATATCTAGTTACTAGATTCCGAACAATATTTTACCAATAAGGGATAAAATATGTATTTATATTAATTAGAAATTTCATGAATGTCCCTATAATTGATTAAGATTATGTCCATGTTCTTCTCCTTTGCAAATGGTGTAATTAGGTATACCTACACGAAATTATGTGTCGATTAACTAAACCATAGAGGTGTGAAAATATTACAAACTTAGTTTTGCATTTATTATAGGTATTAGGATTAGGAAGGTAAAATTAATTACATATAATCCCGTTATGAAATTTATATAAAAATCCGCATTTAGTATATAAAGTTGTGAAGATAACGTTAAATAACCAAGGCCTTCGAAGATAATCATATTTTATCTGATCTATTCATAAACACATATAATTGTAAAACTATTAAGCTATCGTTTTCGTATTGGTTAATAGTTTATTTTTATTTAGTAGGTATCAACGAATTATTACTTATTATTATTTTTATTCCAACCTGTAAATTTCAGTTGTCATTAAAACTGTGACATGAATTAATAGAATAGAATAGAAAAGAAAATCCTTTAAATAAATAAACTTAAATTTAAATAAATAAACACTTTGAATAGTTTTTTTAATCTTACTCTTATTTGGAACCTGTCTCATCACTACAAGATCGAACGAGAAACTTGCGTGTTGATCTTTAAAGAATTATTGTAAGTTGAAATGTATGAATACAAACTCTCAATTATCACTAATTCATTAGAGTCAATATATTAAATACACAGCAAGATTTAATAAGTCGTAATGATTAGAGTAAGCAGTACTCGTTCACAAGTATGACGGATTAGCCTGCCATTTCATTAATATTTAAACGTATAAGAAATTTAGCACTATATTATTTAAAAAATAATAATAACTGTACAGTATTATTGTAAAAAGTTAAAAATGTAGATGCATACAAAATATAATATATGTACATATGAGGTAACATTAATATTTACACATATAGTATTTACCACAACTTACCGGAATAAAAAATTTTTTTTCAACTGTACCTATATAAATTTGGAACATTAAGCAATAAATTAATTATTTTTACAGATGACCAATGGCTGGTAATATTTCTTCGAGGTTGCAAGTTCAGTTTGGAGAAGGCAAAGCAGAAACTGGACCTGTTTTATACATTTAGAAATATGGCTCCCGAGTTTTTCCGGATTAAACATACCAACCCACTTTTCGAAGATATATTTAATAAGGGGTAACGACAACATTCCTATATTTTAAATATAGTTATGATCATTGACTAGTACCCAAATTCTAGCTTCGAGCGGGACTTTTAAATAGTGCACGATTTTGTTAAGTATGCCCAGTATTTTTTTTTATTTATCCATACAAAAAATATAACATTTCTTTGTAACATTACTATACAGTTAAAGTTATGTTGTTTTGATATTTAGAAAATGACAATGCAAAAGGGAATATATTGGTAGAACGTTTATTTTCGTAAGAAATTTATTATATTAATATTTAAATTGTAATAATTGTAGAAAATTGTTTATATTTAGATATATAATACTAAAGGTCTACATTGCTACTTATCCACATTGTCCCCCTTTACCTGTAATATGATGGAGTCTTAAGTCAGTACTTCTATTTTTACTTACCACAGAATTATGGTCATACTGCCAAAACCAATTGCACCTGATTCACCATTAGTGGGAATCTTCAGACCTGGAGTTTATGATCCAAGCAAATACGACTTTATGGACGTCATGGCTGCCACTAACATTATCCAAAAGGTAAATCATAACATTTCTTTTTAAGAATAAAAAAAATAAAAACGAAAGATATTTCTTTATAATTATTTGTAGAGTTAACAACAAATGTTTTACATTAGTTGTGATTTTAATTATGATTTAGCTTAGAGAATAGGATTTAGTTTTTTTTTAATTTTCGTTTTTATACACGCAATTTAATTTGCTAACCGTGTGCATATCACACATATACCTTAACACGAATAATTTTATGATAAGTAGGTAAAGGTATTTATCTCACTCATCTTTTCGATTAGGTTGCACTAGCCATGAACACGACTGACTTAACAAAATTATTTGTATTAAGACTCGGCTAAAAATACAAAATGTTAAAAAAATGCTAAATACAGGTATGGTATATACATGAGCCGCAATCTCCTTTTTTCGACAATCATATAAAATTTTAAAAGTAAATTTGATAATTTATTTTCATTTTGTAATTTTATCTCATACAGAAGAGCAAGACTTTCACGAAAATGTTGAAATTGTTCATGCATTAGTTGTAGGCTTTTTATGTAACAATAGTCTAATTTACATTATTATTATTAATTACTGTATTATTTTTGATGAAAAAATATTAATAAATTTATATTTTTAGCTAGTTTTAGTGGATAACGACAATGCAAGTGTGGCTGGTTTTCAGTCCATAATGGATTTAGAAGGTTCTACAATGGCACACTTTACACAAATGTCTCCATTCCAAATGAAGAAAATGACAGTGTTTTCTCAGGTAGTATATTACTTATTTTATTCCTATAATTTTTATTAATTATTTAGATAGAAAATAAATATAACTTAGATAAAAGATTAATAAAAAAATTATAAATTAATTGAGATACCGAAGGAAACTAAAAAAAGTATCGTTAGCGAAATATTATTAACTAATAACTGATTTTATAATAATGAATGTGGCAACAGTTGTATGTCAGGATAGAAGTTTCTGGCATTCGTTTCTCTCTGCTTAGGAACTCAACGTATATCATATTATTTCTTATTGCCTAGTTACGATGAGAACATGCCGTCCTGGCCTCAAATTCTTCTAGCAGAAATACTTTCCATTTTATAATACATGAAACTCAAACTTAAGATATGAAATTAACGCTTTAGCTTTTTCTCTGTAAAGGATAATAAATCAATGAATTATGTATAATTTGACAAATCCATTAAATTACAATATACGTTATAATTAATGTCTGAAACTAATAAATATATTTTGTTAGGAACTCCAATATATATTTACATATATATATTATAATAATACACTAATAATGAGTGTTGATTATCGCCTGTAATTATTTATAAAAAAAACATTTATTAAAAAGTGCAACACACAAGTTTCTTTCTCATTCTTCTTGTGATGAATCTTCATTCCGAATGAGTGGTAGAATCGAAATTATTATTTCTATTTCTACAATATATCAGTATGATAATATTTAATACATTCATTTCAGGACGCTGCACCAATACGTATGAAAGGGTTCCATTATTTGAATACCCCATCAGGATTTGAAACTGTGTTCAACTTGTTCAAGGGTTTCATGAATGAGAAGAACAGAAGTCGAGTAAGTATACCATTTTCATTTTCCTAACTTATTGTTAATCCTAGTGTCTATTTTAAACATATTTTTTTCTCCAGCTTCATGTTCATAACAAAAATTACAATGAATTGTACAAGCATATCCCTAAAGATGTATTACCTGCTGAATATGGTGGAAATGGTGGTACCATTGCAGAAATCCTAGGTAAGTCAATTATTAAACTTGTTATGTGTGCAGTGAATATTTTAGCTCAAGAGCTTGCGAACCCTGTGAATAACGATAATTCTTAGCTAAACATTCTTTTACTGAACCGTCATGGCACGTTTGTATTAGACTAGCTGACCCGACGAATCTCGCACTGCCATATTACAATTTTGTTTTTTTTACTTTAATAACTCAATAGTCAATATATTGAAGATATTATCTCTTAGTCTTCTGTCCCATTCACTTTTTATAAATATTATTTTAGACAAACTTTGTTCTGATGATAACTAATATATAAAAGGTTCATCAAATTGTTGCAATAGTAAGTTATGCGTATATGAAGATTTCAGTGAATATAGATTGTTTGTGCCTGATTTAGGAAATCACTGAACGTAATACGTATATCAGTATCATATATATCATTATTGTAATTTTTACAATTCAGATTATTGGAGGAAAAAGGTCCAAGATTACAGCGCCTGGTTAGACGAAGACGACACATTTGGGGTGGACGAATCCAAACGGCCTGGGAAACCTAAAACTGCTGAAGATTTGTTTGGTTTAGATGGCACTTTCAGAAAATTGGAGTTTGATTAAGTAATTACTAATGACAGTAATGTTACAGTTATAAATATATATATAATTGCTTTAATTTTCTAAGAAATACGGTGTTTGAAGAAATAAATTATTGTTTATAGTTTAAAGGTAGATACATTATTGTTTCACAGCTCTCTTAATATAATATAATAAAATAACAAACAAAATTAAAGATAACAATATGACACAAAATAAAGATATGCTGACATGGTAATTGTTTTGAAAATTTTTACTATTGTACACAAAATAAAAGTCAACAAACTGTGTAACGACTATTCTTTTTTACGGTCATTAGAATAACGTAAAAAATTAAATTGTCGACCAGACAGAAAATATGATATATAATAATAATATATAAAAAAAAATATTTTAGGAATAATAAGGACTTTACGTTTCTTCTAATTCATATTTTTTTATTTTTAATATTTATTAAGTTTTTCTCATATTATGCATATTTTCTACCTGTTCGACGATGTAATCTATGTATCTAAATAATAATAAATACGTATGTATAAATACATAAATACAAACAGAAATCTCCTATTTTATTCGATATATTTATTTTAATCCCTACTCATCTTCAATCTTTCTACCACTTTTGTGCAGATGATCTCCAGTAGTCTTGGTTGATACTACACAAGCGATTACTGATATTAATGGTGAAATTGCTCCTATATCTGTTTGCAGCAATTGTCATTGTAGTGTGTCATTCAATGTCTAGGTCTATGTTTCACCAACAAATGTCAAAACATTTATGAATTTGATAGAAGGATGCTATTTTAAAGTTGGATATTTTTATGTAATATAGAAAAGTTAAAGTTTGTAATCCTCTACATGATGAAGAACTCTAATAAGTACTAGTTTATACGAATTACCTGAACTGTCTGACTCTGGACCATTTTATATATACAGTCTTCTAAAGTCTACTTACATACAGAAGGTATGTGTTGCTATTTGCAATATGGGGCGCTTTCAATTACTTTTTAATACTTAGAGTAGGGTAGGGTATTCTCTTCGTTCTTTCAAGGAGGTAAGTAAGAGTAACTATTATATATATATATATATATATATATATATATATATATATATATATATATATATATATATATATATATATATATATATATATAGTTACATATATACTGTTTAGAGAATATATAATACTTTGGGCTGTGGTCTAATTTATTGTATATTAATATGGACGAATGGTGACATATACTTTAACTATTTATTTCTTTCTATACGATATCAAAACGACGTATGGCGTAGTTAAGTGACATGAACCAAGTCATGATGACTAGTAATGTCAAGTAGGCTGGTGGCGTGGTAGACTTTCATCCTTAAATTGCAAGTTTTGTTTACTTTAGATTGTAAGATCATTTTCTGATAGGATCACCCTTGCAAAATAAATGCTATATATTAAAAAAAAAACATCAAATATATATTAAACACATTTTAACTATATTTTTAATTCTTTTGTTTTTTTATTTCCAGCAGTGCTCTTACTTTAAATAAAGTGTACTACGTTGTTCTAATTTGTAACAATATAAGAAAATAGAGGTGCGAATTTTGTATTATAAATTTTTCACTTTTGTTTATATATTATTTGTCTATGTTATTACAAAAACTCCTTATTGTTGTATTACTGGGTCTGAAATTGGGTCATCATTAGACAAATATATATATTTGCATAGCTTTTTAAATTGTACTCGAATATTACAGCCAGAAGTCACAAATTAGCAATTAACAACTTAAAAAAATTGAGAGAAAACTCTTGGTAGAGAAAGTTTGTGTCTACTAAGAATTTCATTATCGCAATTACTGATTCTAAGTGAAACTATTTTACATGTGAGCCCGGGAACGGTTGTTTGTTTTTAATATAAGTACAGTAGATAGTAAGTAAAGATAATGAAATCTTATTTAAAAGATTGTATGTTAAGTAACTATAGATATAATTTTACAATAGACTAAAAAACAACAATATCAGTATTAGGTACCTATACCTTCTTAGTTGGCTTATTGATGGATTAATAAGATGATAACATTGGCCGATTAAAAGTAGTAATAAGTAGACTTGCATGGACGTCCTGTGAGGAATAACGTGTCCAACACAACAATCAATCATTTATTAAAAATGTCTATCCGTGCTCTTTGCCCTGAATTAGCCGAGAAGGCTCGTGTAGAACTAAATGAAGATCCTAAAAGATTAGCTGAAGATTTGCAACATTTAAAAGATTGGATAGCAAAACAACCGCATTTAAGAGCTAGAACAGGTACCTAGTCAATGTATTTTCTTGTGATATAATAGAGATATTTTAGGTTTAATTTATATTTTAACTAGATACTGGACTTCGCACGGGTGTACATGTATTATATATAAATATATATATATACAAACTTTTCTCTTGAATCATCTATCTATTAAAAATAATCGCTTCTGAACCTTCAAAATCTGTTGCGTAGTTTTAAAGATTTAAGCATACATGGGGACGGACAGACAGCGACTTTTATACTATGTAATAATGATAAGTAAAGTAATTGTTATTGTTGACATAAACCTCAATATTTATAAAAAAAATGTTACTTAATAATAATTTAATGTAAGGAATAATAGTACAGGTAGTGTGTACAGTAATCTGCTTATGTAACAAGTTATGTTTGTACTACACGTTCGTATACACTATATATGATTATATATAAAAAGTAATAAATAAAGTTGATGTAGTAAGATCATATTTGATATGAAAGAGTTTCAAAAACTGTGAAGGACCAAATATTCGAATCAATATTCCAATTCAGAAGATAATGTAGGTCTACTTAGTAGTTTGCTTGTTATGATGGTAATATATCATAATTTTATATAACTGATTTTGTATTGCCCTGTGTTATTTTGAAAAATTTGCTCTCATTCTCTGTAGCAATTGTTCTACAAATTTATATCAATATATGTACTACGGAAACATAAATTATAACATCTTATGTTCCGTATTGATAGGTAGTTTATCTGATTAGAAGTTAAAAATATATGTATATTTCTTTAAATTTATCTAAGTAGATAAGAACAGATGATAAGACTAAACATTGCAATTATATCAACAGTATTATAAAAGTTTACTGTATTACTAGAAACTAGCTACCTAATTATGTAACTGACGTTACTACTATAATACTATTTATATATAGTCTTGTACATGTGCCCATAATTGATTAATAAAAAGTATGAGGTAAAATTAATTACATACATATAATCCGGCAATGAATCTTTATATATCAATAAGTAATTATTATAGTAGGTTGGGGAGGTAACGTTAAATAACCAAGGCCGAAGATCGAAGATAATTATAAATTTATCTCATCTTTTCATATGCACATACCACATATTTGTAAAAACAAGAATTCGGAAATTTGTGGCGTTTTCTTATTGGTTAATAATATAATTTTATTTACTAGGTATCTATAATGAATGATTATTTTCCCCAACCCGTGAAACTTAGTTGTCGTTATTTAAAGATATAATACAAATTAATATAAAATACAAATGACAATACTTGATACATATTTGACCATAGAAAAAAATTGCAGTTATTAATAATTGCAAAGTATTATGAAAATTACAGTAGGTATCTAAAAAATATAATATCCATACACGTCCATACGACATAACAATAATTATTACGTTAAGTCTTGCTACGTATAGGCTGTACGTTAATTCTTTGGGATACTGCAAATTAAATATATTATAAGAACATCGTGTATGTCATGGAAATCTGGAACTTTACGCCATAAATTAATTATTTTTACAGATGACCAATGGCTGGTAATATTTCTTCGAGGTTGCAAGTTTAGTTTGGAAAAGGCAAAGCAAAAACTGGACCTGTTCTATACGTTTAGAAATATGGCTCCCGAGTTTTTCCGGATAAAACATACCAACCCACTTTTCGAAGATATATTTAATAAGGGGTAATGAGAACATACATCTTACTTCCTGATAATACTATAAACGTGGATGTTTGCGAGTATGGTTGGATGGATGGATGGAGTAACAAACATTCATCCGATGTTTGTTACTCTTTCACGAAAAAACTAACGGAATGGATTTTAATCAAACGTTACAATAATATAGCTTACACAATATAATAACACATAGGCTAAGGTTTCACGTTGTTAAAACCGTGGGAACAGTTAGTTTTTTATATAATAATAATAATTATTATTATATTACTAGTAGCCATATCTAGCTTCGGTGCTCGTAACTTTGTGAGCATAATAAAATATCCCAATAATATTTTGAATTTATAGTGGACAAACATACAAAAAAACTAAAATCTTTTCTTTGTAATACTAGTACAGATGTAGATAAATTAATGCTGTTTTAATTTTTAGGCAATGATATTGCGGGAAAGGTACTATGTTAATCAAAAGAACAATTATCTTTCTAATAAATGCATTAAATTATATACATATATATGTATATAATTTAATGCATTTATTAGAAAGATAATTGTATCATATTGGGAGCTACCTCCCGTATGATGTAGTTTGTGAAGTAGGTTGTTTACAAGTAAGGTTCTACCAAATTATCTACATTCTCTGCTATTGGATGTAGTGTTAGTTATTATATTAGAACAATAAAAAACATTTTGATTCTGAAGCCTACTGTGAACGAAGCAACAATTGTTTATAAACGCCAATTTATACAAAATAGAATATTTTATTTTGTATTTTGTAACAATATTTTTGGTAATTAATTATACGGATCACTATTGTAATGTTTATATTACTGCGTCCTGTAGAATATAATTTAGCAGCAGTCGATATATTTCTATCTGAGTGTAACGGCTTATCCACATTGTGTCGGTCTCGCCCCGCCTATATATGTCAAAGCCTTAAATTAAAACTTCTATTTCTACTTGTCACAGAATTATGATCATACTTCCAAAACCGATTGGACCTGATTCACCAATCGTGGGAATCTTCAGACCTGGAATTTATGATCCAACAAAGTATGACATAATGGATGTCATGGCTGCTACTAACATTATCCAAAAGGTGAATCCATATTTTTAAAAATATAAATATTTATTGTGCATTACATATTTATTATGTACAGTTAACAACAGATTTTTTGTTAATATTTAATGAAGCTGAATCTTATTCACGTAATATCGAAAGTAACTCCCACGCAGCATATGTACATTTTGGCATAAGTATACGAAAACAGTATTCAGTGTGTTCTTGAATATAGCATACAGTTATTTATTTAAACCGTTATTTATTCTCAAAATATCCTAAATAAATATATTATTATTGTTACAATCTTTTCTGAATGTAACATTTTTATTTATTTTATTTATTCGACATGTTTGTTAATTTTTTATATTATTTATAATGTTTTACACAATATTTCTCTAATGACTGACAGTTACATATCAAGAGGCTTAAATGTTACCTTCTTTTTTAAAAGACCGTACCATCTATCAACTTGTTTTATTCACTACAGTCTGTACCTGTTTTCATTCGGTTACACGCACAATATAGGTATGTTCCGGTTCATACATACATTTTTATATGATTCGACAATCATGTAAAAATTGAAAAGCAACGCCGCACTAATTTGTTGATACGTTCATGGTTTTTTTAATAATAATAATCTAATCTACATATATTATTTAATTACTGTATTATTTTTGTTGAAATAACCTTAATTAAAATATATTTTTAGCTAGTATTAGTGGACAACGACAATGCAAATGTGGCTGGTTTCCAGTCCATAATGGATTTAGAAGGTTCTACAATGGCGCATTTTACACAAATGTCTCCATTCCAAATGAAGAAAATGATGGTGTTTTCTCAGGTAGATTATTATTTATTTTATACCTATAATATTACTTCACTTCCATGGGGACAACACCAATGGCTCCCTTCGCACAACTAGAAGATTTTTACTTCATGTCCCGGCACATTTGTCCGGTTTTGTCCATCATTCTTTCGCCGTTCAGGCTATCAAACTTCGGAACGACTTACCCCTTGACATCAGGACTGCTACGAGTAAAATTTCTTTCAAGCGAAGATTGCGGAACCATTATCTTAACATATAACATATCATATATTTTTTATATATCATATTATTATCTTATATATATATTTTTCTCTTTAGCATTAAGTTTCTTCATTTTTACATATATTTATGGTATGGTATATTTTTTATATATATATATTTTTGTGTATATTTGTAGGAATATTCATGTACTTACATGTGTATATATATATATATATATATATTTATTCATGTATATTCTATAAAATATTATAATATTGTTTGCACCGCCAACAACTTATCTCTGCACCACTCATGGTTGACTGGTAGAAAGTGCCATTAGGTGTTAAGTCCGCCATATGTACTTTTTACCTGTATATGACGTGCATTAAAGTTATTTAAATAAATAAATATTCATTAATTATTTAGATATAAAATAAATATGACTTTTTAGTTTAAAATAAAAAAAGAAATAATTAAAATGCTTTTAATTTAGATGCCCAAACAAGTTATAGTTAGTTGAATACTAATGTATAACTATATAGGTAAATTAATGAATAACTGATTTTAAAAAAGTGAATGCAATAGTATTTTCTAAGAATTTCTTGTGGACTACTAATTCTTTCTCCACCTATAGAGACCAAACGTGTATCATATTTTTTCTTATTATCTGCCTTGTCTTTCTTATTTGTACAAATGCATCAAATTCCATTTTTTATATTATATAATGATTAGTTGAAATAAATATATTTTTTATTAGGAACACTATTACAATGATAGGATTCATCAATATAATAATATGTAATACATCCATTATAGGACGCTGCACCGATACGTATGAAAGGGTTCCATTATTTGAATACCCCATCAGGATTTGAAACCGTGTTCAACTTGTTCAAGAGTTTCATGAATGAGAAAAACAGAAGTCGAGTAAGTATACCATTTTCAAAGAAAATAATTGCTCTTTACCCGACACGGCTTTTATTACAGATGGGGGTATCAGAAGCATTGGCAAATGTTGTTGTGGTAAACGCAACACTTGACTTGCCCATATATCGCTCGACCTATTCAGAATAGAACGTGGTAGGGGTTTAGACAACCGTTAGGGATTGCTCTTTATGTATCAAGTTACTATTATAAAACTCCTGTGAAATTGTATATATACGCTAAAATATATTAGTATATTTAAATTTAGTTTATTAAAAATTATTTATTGTTTAATATATTAAATATAAAAATAAAATGTAAGTGCAATGTAATTGAATCATATTTTAATCTCTGTATCATTTTCATAACTAATATGTATGTTGAAGTTTCTATGGAGAAAGAGACCACACTAAATTTTTTTTATAATAATTTACTGCCATATATTTTACACACACATAAGATTATGACCTTAATAATGTTCAATTTCAAGAATTATGGTCAAGTTATCGAGTGGTCGCCCAGTATGATTACTGGGCGATCAGTTACAACTTAATATTCATCATATTATAATGTCCATTTGTTATTCTAAACACATTTTCTTCTTCAGCTTCATGTTCATAACAAAAATTACAATGAATTGTACAAGCACATCCCTAAAGATGTATTGCCTGCTGAATACGGTGGAAATGGTGGCACCATTGCAGAAATCCTAAGTAAGTCAAATATTTAACATTTCTTGTAATGTGTGTACAGATTATATTAGTTTAAGAGTTTGCGAATCTTGTGAATTATGATATTTTTGTTAGGCTAAAAATTCTTTTAGTGAAATCATAGCATGCTTATTTTAAAATAATAACCCGACGAACTTTGCACTAGCATGTTTATTTTGGAAATACGTTTAACATTTGTTACTCTAATGACTATCAATATATTGAAGATCTTATTTCTCAGACTTCTGTCTCATTCATTTGCACAGTTTTCATATTATGAGATATAAAATCACGTTTGAATTGTTTTTTAAGAAATATTCTTTTATACAAACCTTGTCTTGATAATAACGAATCCTGAAAAAGGATTATCGATTTCGTTGCAGTAGTAAGTCACACGTGTATGAACATTTCGCCATTGTTTTTATTTATATAGATTACCTATGCCTAATTTAAGAAATCATAGTATATAAGTATGTATGTCTTTATTGTATTTTTTATATTTCAGATTACTGGAGGAAAAAGGTCCAAGATTACAGCGCCTGGTTAGAGGAAGACGACACATTTGGCGTGGACGAATCCAAACGGCCTGGGAAACCTAAAACTGCTGAAGATTTGTTTGGTTTAGATGGCACTTTCAGAAAATTGGAGTTTGATTAATTAATTACTAATTACATAGCAAATATTACAGTAATAAACAGATGTATAATTATATTAATTTTCTAAGAACACGGTGTTTAAAGAAATAAATAAATAATTATTTATTTTTATTTATACTGCACCCAGATATAGAAAGCAATTAAAATAATAAGTTTTTATAAACTGATACAAAATGGTCTTGTCACTAAGCATTCTTTTCCAGACTAACTTTGGGTAGAGAAAGTACAACATAAGAAAAATTATTGTTTCACATCACTCTTAATAGAAATCTTAAGAATATATAAACAATATATAATAAAATAAAATGAGAAAGATAATTAAAGATAGCTGTAATAACAATAGAACACGAAATAAAGACATATTGATATGGTAATTGTTCAAAAAATTCGTACACGATATAAAGGTCAGTAAACTGTGTAGTGTTTATAGTCTCACACTACCAATAAGTCTTTACATTTACTTATCCTATCTCTCCTGTACAGTATTCTTTTGAACCATGTGACCCATTGTTACCTTAGGTATATAGTGAGTGCAGGTCATTTCTTGGGTTTTCCTTTCCGTTTTAGATTTCCCTATCATCCACTTCATTCTATTCAAAAACCTTTTCTGTGCAGACTCTTAGGTTGTGGAACTCACTTCTCTTTAAGGCGTCAATCAAATCTCATTTCCTTTCCCTTCAAGCATGCAATGCATTTGCACATAATTTTTCTAGTTGGTTTGACGATATAAGAAACAGCAACAGTGGGCTTTGTTGGTTTGTACAAATGTACAGTATGTTTCATGAAACAATAAAAATACCAATAAAATATGGAAATCTGCATATTATAGTTCAACAATTATTATTCAGTGATTGAAAAACTTTTAATGAGAATGAAGTTTGAACGTATATTATTTAAACTTTATCAGTCGTTAAATAATTATTGGAATATTATTACATATTTTAATGATATTTACATAAGATTTATGTGCCGTAAATCAACTTGAAAATAAATTGTACAGAATTTGTATAGGATTCGAAAACAAAAGTGCGTCTCTTATCTATATACCTAGTAACGTAATGTTAGAGGTATGTAGGTAAAGAGCCCTGTAGCCCGGAACGGTATACCACAATGGGCGTCTAACGTCTTATATTTATCAATAAATAACCCGAAGAAAGATTATATTTTATTTATACATGTGTTCTAACTGAAGAACTGTCTACTTACTGAAGGTTATACCTTCAGTAGCAATTTGCATTATAGGCTTTCTAGTATTTTTTATTATTTACTCTACTACCCTCGTACTTCCTAGAAGGAAAGTAAGAATAAGCGTATAGTTATATTATTACTATTCAGTGAATGTATAACTGGGTTGAGGTCTAATCTATTACATTATATTATTAGGGATGTCCTTAGATTATTTATTGATGTTCAATGGTGATTTTTCATTTGGCAAATGTAATAATCATATGTAGACTGATTTTGTTAATATTATGTTTGATTAAATTATTTTTTTATATTCAATATCAAAACAAGATTATCATAATGTATTGGAGTGATTACAATTATAACGTAGTTAGGTAACATGAAGCAAGTCATGATGACTAGTGATGTCCAATGGTGGTGGCTGCGTGGAGTTACACCGATAATAATATCATTTTCTATCCATGCAAAGTCAACACTGATGTACTTATTAATGAAATTATCAAATGCATAGTAAATACATTTCAAGTTATGTTGTTAATTTGAATAAAATTGACGAAACGTTGTAGAATTGTTGGAATAGAGAAAAACAAGGTGTGCCAGTCTTCTATATTTTTCACTTTGTTGTTTATTTTTTTTTCTAGACCATCTCTAAGTCTTTATCCTTATCACAACAATTCTTTATTGTTGTACTGCTGGGATCACAACTCATCACAAGACAAAACTATAGCTTCTTTAATTACATTTGAAAATTTCGTTTTAAAACTTCAAATCAGCAATTAGTCGTTAAAAATTTGAGAGAAATCTCTTGGTAGACAATGTTTGTGTCTACTAAGAAGTTAATTATCGCAACTACTTCTAAGTGACAAGTCTAAGAGATAAGTCTTCTGATTCTAAATTAAACTATCGTATTATTTATTCCAGGTAACCATAGTATACCTACTTATATTATGTGCGTACCTGGAATGGGTCGATAAAGTACAGTAGGTACTAATGTACTAGAATAGATAACGAAATAAAATTTAAAAGATTATTTGTACAATAACTAAAGATATTATTTAATAATTAACTAAAAACAACAATATCATCTTTTTAGTTGGCTTATTGATGGATTAATAAAACGATAACATTACCTGATTAATTGTAGACTTGCATGGACGTCTTGTGAATAACGTCTTCATTTTTTTATTAAAAATGTCTGTCCGTGCTCTTTCCCCTATATTGGCCGAGAAGGCTCGTGTAGAATTAAATGAAGATCCCAAAAGAATACCTGGGGATTTGCAACATTTAAAAGATTGGATAGCAAAACAACCGCATCTACGAGTTAGAACAGGTACCTATTTAATGTATTTTATTGTGATATAATATATTTATTTTAGGTTATATATTTTTTATAGTAGGTCAAATCATTGTTCTTTAAGACAACATTAATATTTATATATAAAACGTCACAGAATCATAATATAATAAGCAATAGTAATTGTATTTGTTTGCTATATAACAAGTTGAAATCGAATTTGGCTTTGCTCAATAAATCTGATTTAACAGATGTTTTGAATTTATTTAAAGGTAATTCCAGTATATTCTTAGGCATCTCATTGTTCTGTTTGGTATTTCGCATTCATTTTATATAAAAAGTTATAAAAGCATTGATGTAGAGGGATCATATTTGTTATGAAATAGTCTCATAAATTGTTCTGAAATTAGGTTATTTTTGTATTGCGTAAGTTTTTACTTGTACAGTCTTTAAGTTTTTTGAAACTTTTAAAATGTTTCCTTGTATACACAATATTTTCATAAATGTACTGTGTACTGTCACTCTCTCTCACTCGAATCCATACCATAAATAAAGTGTACGGCTCTCTTTTGTAGAACAAATATAGCATTTACATCGGTAGCTAATGTGTACTTTTATGTATGCTTCATTTCATTAATAAAACTGTGTATAATTTGCGACCATAATGCCTTGTCTCTACCAGATAATCATTGGGTAAAAAACAGAAAGCGGTTGATGGTATAGGAACAGACAAACATGTGTTCTTTATCTAATTTAGGTAAATAGATCATCAAAATTATTCTTACATAACAATAATATATAAAACAATATTTCAATTTTAGGGTTACAATAATAATATTCTCTTTTTAATAATGTAAAAAATTGAAAGTTGTAAATCAAAAATCAGAACATACAAAGTTTTCCCGGCTATGAATTAATTATTCAATTATTTCTAGAAAAAAATAATATTGATATTCTATGTTTAACTGAGCATTGGCTTAAGGTGAGCAATATGATGTTCAGCTTAAACAATTATAATATTGTCAGCTGCTTCAATAGACAGTTAGTAAATAGAGGAGGTTCTATGATATTAATAATAACATAAAAGTAAAAGAACGTACTGATATTATTAATTTTTCTATAGAATGTCATGTTGAGATTTCACATGTAGAATTAGAAAATTACTTACTTATATGTGTATATAGACCTCCCAATAGTGATTGAGTTAGTGAGTGATTATAATGTATTTGAAGAGGTAATGGAGGATATATTAAAGAGATTATTTAATAGTAACAAAAAAATATAGTGTGTGGAGATTTTAATGTAGACATATTATCAAATAGTGCCACCAAATCAAAATTTACTAATTTATTTAAATCTTTTGACTTCGGTAATGTCTTCCACGATCCCACTTGGATCACGGCCATGTCTGCTACTTGTTTAGATAATGTTTTTAGCAACAGTAAGTATTTAGAAAAATTAATAATAAATAAATAATCTTCCTTCGGATCACTGTGGTCAAATTGTAATTTTCCCAAATCAAATACATAAAATCAATAAAATTAAAATATTAAAACGAGATTTAACTGGTTATAAGATCGATAAATTAAAAACATTAGTACAAAGTAAATTTAATTTCCATCTTCAATCTAGACAAACCTAACAAACTTTATACTGATTTCTTCAATATTGTTTCTAACGAATATAATAGAATTTTTAGCAAAAAAATCATCAGTATTAGCAAGAAAACAAAATTTTCAGAATGGGCTACTACGGGTATTCTTAAAAGCAGGAATATATTATTTGATTTATATGCCCTAAAACAATACCGTTTTGATTATGCATTGTAAATTATGTAAAAAAATATACAAAAACTTTTAAAAATGTATGTAATGTAGCAAAATCTAATTATCTAAATAAAAAAATTAAAGAATCCAAAGATAATATAAAAACAGTATGTAATGATTTTACATTTAATTTTAATAATAAATTAGTAACGTCTATAAAAGATATTGTAAATATATTTGACAATTGCTTTACCAATATTCCAATTAATATAACTTCTTCTTTGGAATCATCTCCAAGTATAGCTAAATCATTTCTTATTGATAATATTGTTTCTTGTCCCATTACATTTAAATTTACATATATTATCCTAGCTACAATAACGAAAACATTTAAACAATTAAATTTAAAAAATACGGAAGATCATTGGGGTATGTCAGTTAAAGTTATTAATACTTCTATAGACATTTTTACTCCATATTTAGTAACTATTTTTAATAAATGTAATTTTTAATATCTATCTTACCAGTACTAAGTAAAGTGTTTAAAAAAATTATGCTCAATCTGATGCTTCAACACTTTAAAACAAATAGACTGACAGTCACACACACATACACACAGTTCACAGTCGGCAATTTGGTTTCACGGCCGGCAAATCAATTACTGACGCTGGTGTAGCTTTAATGAATCACATTTTTTACTGTTGGGAGTGGTCTCAGGATGCTATCGGTGTATTCTATGACCTCTCAAAAGCATTTGATTGCGTTGATCACGAAACACTCTTACTCAAACT